AGCCTTGAGATACCCAGGACGAACCTCATCCGCCCCCGGGGCTCCGCCGCTGTGTAGTTGTTTGACTACCTCAGCAACTTCTGCCCCCGAGATCGGACAGTCCATCCCCAGGCCTCCCAGCTCTGGTTCCTCCTCGGAATGCGCATTGGTGGGATTGAGGAGCTCCTCAAAGTATTCCTTCCACCGTCCGACTATAGCCTCAGTTGACGTCAGCAGCTCCCCATGCCCACTGTAAACAGTGTGAGCGAGTTGCTGCCTTCCTCTCCTGAGGCGCCGGACAGTTTGCCAGAACCTCTTTGGAGCCGATCGATAGTCTTTCTCCATGGCCTCACCAAACTCCTCCCACGCCCGAGATTTTGCCTCGGCAACTGCCACTGCTGCACCCCGCTTGGCTATCCGGTACCTGTCTGCTGCCTCCGGAGACCCACAGACCAGCCACGCCCTGTAGGCCTCCTTCTTCAGCCTGACGGCTCCCCGAACCTCTGGTGTCCACCAGCGGGTACGGGGGTTGCCACGTAAAACATATATATTTGAATTCACAAGAGCTGAGTTTATAACTTTAAACTCTTACTTTTTGACAAAAAGTGAAATTGTGGCTCACTCCTTCCTTTATAAAAACCCTAAATTTGCATGTTGATTATAAAGACACTAAAAAGAGAAACAAATAGAAACAAAGGGGCTTTTAAGAACATTATTTCTGCACAACTGAGTTTAATGTTGAGAAGGCTGAACTTATTCAACATAAAAAGGTTTAATAACGGATTATCTTCAGGAGGAATCTAGAAGCTGTTTGGCTAGTTAGCTTTAGCTCCAGATGAGGAGGTGAATGGACTCGGAGTAAGACGGGCTTTCTTCCTCTGTGCAGGATTGATTTCTGTGTGTGAGCTTTGAGCTGCAAAGACTGCTCTACTTAAAAGGGCTATTCTTTCAAAAACAAGGGCACCTTTACCTGGACCTTCTGTCTCCCAGCACTCCTTAGAGAGCTGACCCACATACAAAGCACCACCATACAAAAAAGACCAGTTATATAACGTAAAGCACTGAAATGTTTCAAAGAGTACTGAGGATTATTGCATTGATATTTTATTCCATCTTTTCCCCAGCTGGCAGAAACCTTCCTGAATTATTTATTGCTCTCAAAAACAAGTTTATTTGCACTTGTGGATGGCGAGATCACTGGTGAGCTGTTTTTACAGTTGAACTGCACATTAGGACTGGATGTCAGACACAACTAGCCTTGGAAAACTCCTACATGAGAGAAGAGCCTTGAATCGGGTTGATTGTAATCTCTAGATAAGCAGAATTTAAAAGAAAACATTCATGTTTGGATCTTTTATTCATTTACTACTTCAGTTTATTCCCACCATAAAACTTGAGACGGTTCTAAAGAAAAACAAACTGAAATAAAAAGCTTCTTGAGTTTATTTAAGCAGCACTGCTGCAGCGATGAAGCATAAAACCATTTATTTAATTTTAATCTGAACTGAATTTGTGAACAAAGCACAAACGAGTCATTCAGAGAAGCATTATGAACTCTGTTAGGTTTTGATTTGTTTTTAAGACTTGCAGCTAAACATACTGGTATTTATAAGAAAAGAAGAAAAAAAAACAGCTGTTATTTTTTCCCATCATAATTTTCTGGCAGTTTCTGGATCTGCTTGGGGTCCTGTGCCTGCCGATGGCATCATCAAACTAAAGCAACACCACTCAGCCAAAATATATTACATCTCGTTTTTGATTTTGTTCTTTCACATCGGTTTTGGAAAGAGTAGTTTTGTTATTAAAGTGACAATGTGTAGTTTTAATCATTAATCTCTGGAAATATCCATCAAAATGTTGTAGTAAATGACTTAAAAGCCCAGTTTTTGAAAAATATTGGTGGTTTCAAAACATCTAACCATAAAAATCTGTTCTAAAATACATGGGAGCGAGTCTAAGTCTAGGCAATGCCATATTGGATGCCATGTTTCCTTCTACGGACATTGTTGCTTTACGCGTTTACCTCTTTACTCATTGCCAGTGATGAAAAGGAATCTGATGTTCTTGTTATTTGGCTGGAAATTGCACTCCCAGGGATTTTTAACCCTAATGGCCATCCGTTGGTAAGGTTTTATTTGAACAAAAACGATGCTTGCTTGCAGTGATTTAGGCAAGTACTAGGGCTGGGTGATATGGACCAAAACTTATATCTCAATATATTTTTGCTGAATTCCGATATACGATATATAACTCGATATTTTTCCTCCTTTAAAATATTTACAAGTTAACTCACTTCAAGCTGTCTTGAGAAATTATAAACATAAACCAGTAGATTAAATGCATAAAAATGTATTGATTCTTGTCAAACTTTAACCTTATTGTCTATTCTCAACCAGTCTGAGCTTTAGAAACACTGGTACAGCAGTCTGCACACACACACACACACACACACACACACACACACACACACACACACACACACTTGAGAGCTAGAGGTGTATCAAATGTCCCACAGGCACTTTATAATTATATATTTATAATTAATGTAAAATTATTTAAATTTCATCTAGAGGTGGCCCATATTGTATATTTCTTGTCCAGAGAAAATAAAATCTATCATGTTAAGCTAAATTTATAATGATGTAATTGCTTCTACTGAAGATCACATGGGTCATGCACCGTGGCGTTATTAGTTATCAGGGCAAACATTGCTGGAATCTAACAGTGTTAGCTCATTTCAGCGATTATATTGTAATGACTCAGTCTCTGGTTGCTATGGGGATTATTTTTGAACTACTGTCGCCGTAACTCACGCCTTAAAAACTCTTCACGTTTTCAACAGAATCGCTCATAACTGAGTATTTACTAGCATAGCAAACCAGAGCAGCAAAAACCAAAACCAGAACAACTTTTCTCACCCGTTGAGCTCCCTTTGAAAATAAAATGTTAACCCTGTGGTTTACTATTCAAACCCTTATAATTTGTTTGAGGTAATCTGGCCACTCCGGCTATCCGTAGATGTTTCCTCGTTACACAGGGGAGGGAGGGGTTTGGCTTGTCTCCGCACAAGCAGGATGGATAAACAGAACTCCATTGGCGTTGAACGTCCCCAAATAATTAAAAACCAGGAAGCCTAATGCAAAGTTTAGAGCAGCACATTTACACAGACGCTCTCAGATTGAGCAAACTTGTGAGAATACATGTTATAGCCGCTTCTTCTTCCGGCACTAGCAGAGTACAGACGCTTCTGCTTTTGCTCCCTTATCTTTTTTTTCCCAAGGCTCTTTGTCCTGTTTGCCCACAGAGCGCTTCTCTGCATTTCTTCTGAAAAACCCTATTTTTTAGAATGGATTTAATTGAACGCGATTGACAAGAATTTTTCTATGATGAGAACGGAGGAAGGGGCTCCCACTTGCGCGCAAGAGACACACGCAGCGGGATATATGCTCGATTCCTGGAAAGAATGGAGGATCGTATGCCTCTCCCAGTTGTCCATTGAGGACGTTGAAGATGTGTGGATGTTTGGCCTGATGATCACTGGATTTCTTCTGATTGGAGTGGGAGGATATCCGGTTTTCTGGAAATTTGGGAAGACGGGAGCAATTGGAGGGCGACCCGCACCCACGGAAAGCACTGTCCGTGTGGAGACCTCACAGACTGGGACGTTACAAGAGGTGAATCGTAAGCTGGACAGCGTTCTAGCTGCGATACCGGTATTAGTGCGCAAAATGGATGTCATCTCGGAGAGGGTCACCGGACAGTGTGGAGATGTTTAAAACCTGAATTGGCTTCACTGGAGGACTTGAATGATAAGTTACAGACTTGAAGGCAGAGAGGAAAATTATCTCTGCCTGACCCAAACAAAGTCTTGTTATCCGAATCAGACGCCATGGCAGCCTTGTGAATGCCAACAACAAACCCCCACGAAGGAATGCAGACAGATGCTGTGAAAACCCGACCTACCCCACCGCCTTCGGATTGGTGGACTTCAGCCTGACGAGGTCATCAACCTGCAGGTGTCGATGTGCTCTGCACTCCTCTCAAGATCTCCCTCCCACCTGTGGCTACAGTGGCTGAGCGCCATAGGGCTGCTCTCGCTAGGGAAACAGGATCCCAGCCCCCCCCCCCCCCCCCCCCCCCCTCCACACACACACACACACACATGTCGCTTGCATAGCGGCTAATCGCTAGCATAGCAGTTTGACCAGTTATATCGATATAAAGTCATCTTGTTTCTTGTTTAAAAACTATATCGATATTTTAAAAATATCAATATATCGCCCAGCCCTAGTATGTACTATTCCTATCGCCAGGGAAACTACAGACTTTCACTTTAAATTCATGTTTCTTACTGCCTAAATGCTTTCTTTATAACCAATTTGTTAAAACACCATATTGTCTCTGTTTTTTAAAGAATGTGAAAATACATAAAACTAACATCCAGAAAGCCCAACAGTTCTTACTTGAACATTTTTAATTGTATTTACATAATTAGCAGCCCTTTCCGTTCGTATAAATATGGAATTCTGTATATTTGATTAGTTATTATATAAATAAATCCATTCATTGATTCAAAATGTTGTGCTTATTTGTTCAATTAAGCTATTAATTTTGTCTGATTTCATCACAATCACTTGTATTTTTGTCCATTTGTCCAAAATCGTCTGTGTCAATGTGCCAACATAACTTCTGTAAGTCATTTGTCCAGCCAGCCATCTAGGTGGAACCCGGGCCAGCTCATGCAAAACATGCATCCAATATGGTGTCCCCCAGAGACGTAGTCTCGCACCCTACATACTTTAGATCAGAATTTTATGGTTTTGCAACAAAGCCGCCAATATTTTTCAACAACTTGACATGATTTTATTCATTTTCAAAATGGTTTGATGGATTTTTCTAGAGATTAAAAGGTAAAAACAACATATTTAAAAACACATTGTTTTTAGACTTGGAGAACCAAATTTTGCTCCCTAGCGATGCCAGGTGTTACAGCATGCTGGCTTCGGGTGGTGTTCTCTCACCTGAAACTCCGTATTGGTGTTGCCGATCTGATTGACATTAGGAAGGGAGCCTCCGTAGTACTGTGCACGGGACTGAGACAAACGAAGCTGCTGGACCTTCTGAAACTGCACCTGTACATCATAAGGTAGAAATAAAAATCAGGGAGGAAGAATTCTACACACACAAGATGAAATCTGATGTGTAACATTCATCTTAAAAATGAAATCTCACTAAGCTGCAATCAATTCCTGAGTTTTCCAGTTTATTTATGAGACATTTTATTGTGACCACAAAAGATTTTACCTCCAGATGTTTGAAGGGAAAAAACAAAAGAACACGAGGAGATATAATGCACAGAAAAGGTCTCCATCAGGTTTGAGGAGATTTGGATCACATGAAGGCACTCTCGAGACTAAACCACAAGTCTCCAGTGTTCTCCAATATAAACATTTGCTGCTCAAAAAGTATCAGAAAAATCCAACAAAAACATTTTATTCGTCTAACGTCTTGGATTTGCAGCTACACATCTTATGATCTCCCGTATTTTTTCATTGGAACAAGGTTAAAAGGGGAGGCGGTGCTTAAATAAGTGTGTGTGAAAACAAGAAACATACAGCTCTATTTTGCACATTTTCTTTCCACTTTGTTTTTTCCCCTCAACTGTACGACCTCATAAAATAACGACCACATCCTACCTAAGACCGCGTCCTAACACATGGATCATTCACAAAAATGCAAATGGCCTGCTGCAGAGCAGTTCCCAGAAGGATTAAAACCTGTCATCTGGTTACTGGTGTGAATATTCAACCAGCCGACTGCAGCTGTTTGCCGCTCGGACTGACTTTAGCGGCCCTGACTGGGTTTACTTTCACACAGGGTTCACCGATAGTTCATACTTTATTTCATTCAGTAACGACTCCACCACATCCTTTTTGGCCAGCCATTCAAAACCAGCACCCCTCTCACAGAAAGAGCACATTGTGAACAAATGATGTGAGAACTGTGCAAAAAAAAAATAATAATAAAAAATTCTATTAAAAAAAAGAAGGGATTCAATATTGTAGTTAGAAACACGAACGGAAGGTTCCCTGAATGCATACGTTTCTTTTATATTATGTGTTATAAACAAAGGGTGGCTGGGGTATGGGTGCAACTGCATTTGGCATCTAATGAAAAAAACTACAAGTAAAAATTATTTTTCTCCCAAGATCATAAGCAGAGTCTGAACCGCTCGACTCTTTCTTCTGTTTAAACATTCTGATTCCCGTTTTAATGATCCACCTGTTGTTCACACAGCTGACAGTGAATGAGAAGTACTGAGTACAAGAACAAATAAATCCTTATTTCTGATTGTTTAACAGCAGTCCAGTTATCAAGTACAAATGAAAGAGGCTGCAGGCAAAGTGCCACACTTTCAGATTCAGTCGGAATGCACCTCAAGGACACTTGACTTTCTTCTGTGGCTACATCTGCTCAGGGAAAATAACCAAACAAACACAAACCCAGTAACCCCTCAGCTTCACCTACTTTTTAATGCTCGGTTCAAGGTCTGTGATTACATTTACAACTCATTTTGGGACCAAACACATCAGACACATTGTTCCCATTTCTAGGAAAGACTCAAAAGCGGGGACCTAAAGACCTTGTAACTGCAAATATCTACATTTTAGACACAACGTGGAAATACCCTCAATAGTTCCATTAATTAAAAAAATAGTTTCTGCTTTGTGAAAGTGAAACTAATGAGATGCTTTGTCAATGTTTGCAATAGTTTAATCTGGAGATGCATCTTTTCTGGTATTGAGATACAGATTTCATCTGTTAACACCAACTATTATAATATAAATCATTAATAGACACTTTTTATGAAGTATTATTTCTGAAGTAAATCTTTCAAATGGAATATATGTTATTGTTAGCATGATAATGGGTTTGTGATGGTGAGAGATGTTTTTATTGGGCTGTTTATGCTGAATATTGTCCAATCCCCATCACGAGCTCATTTATTTTTGGTGCATCTCCAAGTTTAAACTCCATGCAAATGAAAACTTACATATCCGACTGACTTTATGGGTGAAATTGGTTGTTTAGCCTAAAATAATGAAGCAGAATTCTGCAAATAAAGAACCATAAACTCCACAAATGAATCCCTGACATATTTATGCAGATTTTTTTTATTCAAGTCATGCAGACATGTAACCAGAATAGTCAGCTGAGCTTAAACCCGAGTCAGCAGAAGTCATCTAAAAAGTGACAGCAGCTTCTTGCATGGGAAGGACCACCAAAGGGAGTTAGTTATATTTACCCTCGACACGGTCAGGTCTGTCATGAGCTGCTCAAAGGCCCGCGTCTCCTCTGCTTGCTTCTGATTATGCAGCGCGATCTTCTCGCTGAACTTCCTGGGGTTGGAGCCACCTGTGCCCGCGGAGCCGGACATTGTGCGGCCCGCAGTCTTACAACTTCAGCGTCTCGGTGGGGTGGGGGGAGTAGAGGACGGTGCAAGGGGAGGGGGTCTATCTTCCAAAGCCACCCAGGGAACGGAGAAGCAAAGCCATCCGAGTTTCACAACATACGTCGCACATGAGCGGTGGAAAAAAAAACTAGTTGGCAGAGTCAGTTCTTTCCAACACGAGCTAACGCAGCTATGCTAACGTTAAGCTGCCGTTAATAAAAGTTGTTGTGAACGAAAAGTGAAGTAAATTCAGTCTCTGCGGGTTTCTACGTTTGCAAGTTAACTGTAGTAACTTTCAAGAAAAAGTACGCAACGATTACAGCAAGTTAGTTGCACATGTGAGTTTATATCAACACATTTCCACGAACTAGTTTGAATTTACCGTTGACATGACGTTAGCCGCGGTTGCTAACACAACAAGGGGAGTGAACGGAGCGCTGGAACAGCGGCAGCTAGCCAAGTTAGCTAAGCTGCTGCGTGAGCCATATCGGTAATTTTAACAAATACCCCTTATACCCGTTTGTTGACCATAATGTCAGGCCTGAATTAAAAGCAACTTTAAGGTTAGCAGCCTCGAGAAACGTTAGCGAACGTCTGCTCGGTAATTGGTGTTTCAACAAGTGTCCGCTCCTCTTGCACTAAATTGACAGAATTTCTACTTTTCTTATCCCAAACTGAGTATAAGTGACGTTTAAATACTCGCATGCGACGAGGAAACCCAATCCACGCAGTTAGTCAAGTTGATATCACAGCTCTTCACAGAAGAGAGGCGAGTCCTGTGTTTATCCACGGACAGCAGATAGATCTCAAACCCCAGTCCGAGGACTCCATGAAGCAAAAATAAACAGCACCGGTAGTAAAGCTTTTCCGATTTTCGCTGATAACGGAAAGCGTTAGAAAATCCTGTGTGTTATTTACAACTTATTAGTTGACGACTGACAGAGCAAAACAGCAGCTGAGGTCCGCAGGCTCGTTATCCCCATTCTGCTGCGAGAAAAACATTACCTCGTTAAAGACCGTCAGTACCGTCGGTGGCCGCAAGGCGGCGACAAAGTGACGATTTACCTTCTCGTCAATGACATTGATTTAAATTGGCTGGCCAAATCAATAGGTCACTGACGTGTAATCTGGGTTCAAATTAATTTCTGGTACTCCTTAATGTATGAGTAACTTTTAAAGCAATTATCTTAGCATGAATCCAGTCAGCTTTTCATTGTCTGGGGGTAAAAAAAAACAAATAAAATATCTAGTGAGGGCTTTCATCTCTATATTGTCATAAAAATGTTGTACTTTAAAAACAGTTTAGGTCACTAAAATATGTTTCAATGGTTGTACTTGTTAATTTTACTTCTGATAAAATCACTTTCTCAAAACCCATTACTCTTAAACAGACAAAACAAATGATTTACATACAAGTATTTGTTTAGCAGCTAAATAGCCAATTTATATTACAAAGTGTTCCTTATATCTAATGCATAGTTTAAATTATTCATTTTCATTTCTGATATTAAAATAACACATTCATCCAGATTTTCAGAAAACCCTAACTTTTTACAATCTGATGGTAAACACAGACACTTTTCTGAAATAGTTGATAAAACTGAGTCAGAGTAAATGTAAGTACATCTACCTCTACTAAAGTGATTCTGTGCAGAACTGCAGTTCCAAGTTTCTTAAAAAAATAAAATGTTGAAAAACTAGATGTTAGTGACCCCTACTGGATCCCTCAAATTCATGTAATCCTTCACTCTATGATCTTTCTATGATCCTAACCAAATCCAGCAGACGAGCTCACATCACCCCAGTTTTACAGTCCCTCCACTGGCTCCCGGTAAAATATAGAATTCAGTTTAAAGTTTTAGTCCTGACGTATAGAGCTCTTAACAACCAGGCTCCAAGCTACCTATCTGAGCTTTTATCCCCACACACCACCTCTCTGAACCTCAGATCCACATCTGAAAACCTCCTGGCTGTTCCTCGAACCAGACTGAAAACCAAAGGGGACAGGGCCTTTCAGACTACTGCAGCCAGACTTTGGAACAGTCTACCTTCAAATCTCCGTCTCTCTAACACTGTAGAGGTCTTTAAAAATCATCTAAAAACTCACTTTTTCATCCAGGCGTTCGCTCCCTAAATGTTCTAAAAGATGGCTTTGTTCGGGTTCACACCTTCACTTTGTTTATACTCATGATTTTATTTTCTATTTTATCACTGCTATTGTTTTTTCTGGTGTATTTATTGGTTAGAGGTATTTGCCCTGATCGTTATCATGTTGTACAGCGCTTTGTGATTTATATCTGTGAAAGGCGCTATATAAATAAACTTTTACTTACTTACTTACTTTCCCCGAGTTAGGCAACCCGGTGCTTTAATGGAGTCAGACTACATGCAAAATTAAAGGTGTAGTATGCAGAGCCGGATTAACGCAAAGGCAAAGTAGGCACGTGCCTAGGGCCTGATTGGCTGGATGGGGCCCAGACAGAGGAACAAAATTAAAAATAAATAAAAAATTAAATGTACAAATGTCCTATGATATAATTTGTAGATAGGACTCCTATCTATAATTTATTTCAATATTTATTAATTAATTAAAAATAGTGACAATGTTTATCTTAACCATGGACCGTTTCATTAAGGCGCCACCCAATTAAGGACGTCAGAGAAGCGGTCAGAGTCAGAGCGGGACCCAACAAAGCTAGCAGGTGTTTTTGAGTAGGCTAACTTTCACGATGCTTTCGGGTGCGGCAAAACGTAAAAAAAAAAATAATGAAGAGGAACAAAAGAAGAGACAGCGGGGGGGGGGGGGGGGGGGGCTTACAGAAGTTTCTGTCGGGCTGCTCGGGGAAGCCGTCCGACAGCTGTGAACATGCTCGAGTCAGCAGAGCCAGAGGCCGGGCCCAAGTCAGACCCGGAGGAGACACGACCCAAAGACGTAGTGGAAGATGCGGCGGAAGATGCTGTAGCGCCAACGCCGTCAACATCAACGCCTTCACAGAAGGACAAACTGGAAGAACAGCAGCCAGCCAGAAGTCAGCCCAATAGTCTTACAGGAGCCTCAAGACCCAGAAAGGGTATTAACAACTAGCTACCCATCTGATCCTGCAAAGTGGTACCAAACTGATGACAGGATGCGTGAGTACTTAGCACTAAACCATCCCTCTCAAAATATTGGATATATTCTTCGGCATTACAGAGGAAATCTGGAGACATAAACCAAAGCTTAACCAAGGAACATTTCTTTAGACGTGTTTCTGCTGTGACTGAGGCATGTGATGCTGGAAGGCTGAAGATTATCCCGGAGTGGAGAATGCTAAATGGTTTCCTTGGTAAGTGTTGCTGGTTTTATTATTTTTCAAAATTTTTTATTAATGTTCAAATAGCAAAACAATAAGTTCACACTCAGAAAATTGACACAGAATTCCTGATTCAGCAGAGGGTAAAACAGCCTGAATGAGCATAAAGCAAGATCAAAACTTAAGATAACGTTTTCATTTTATTAAAATACTTTCTTTTAAGATTATAGATTGTATAAAATGTATACTGTAATAATTTAGGCTGCGTGTTTATAGTTTGTTTTTGCGCCTTTAAACATGCTTCAGTCCATTCAAATTAATCTATTCTTGAATGTCTTTCCACTATCATGTGATTAATTTGTCAACATTTATAAATGTTGTAAGCTATTGTATTTAGCAGGAAATATTTTAAATTAAATGTAGTGATTAAATATAAACAGAGTAAATGAGACATATTTGCTCTGTTTACATAGTATAATGACACCTAGTGGTTATTTACTGGTACCGCCTTGACATTGACACTCCCAATCGATAAGATGAGGATAATTTATTAGCATTTAATACAGCTGTGTAATGACGTATAAATTATTAATATCAAAACATTGTCTGATAGAATGTTTAACATACAACACATGACTTATTTTGGCACACAAACAACCAATTTGTAACCAAAGACTAGGCTACGTAAAATGCGAATGAACTTTTATAAGTAACTTTGGTAATTTTCAGATTTCAATTCATTAAATAACATCGATGGAGGGGGGGCCCTAAAATGCAGCCTGCCTAGTGTAGTCCATTTATTTAATCCGGCTCTGGTAGTATGTAAGAGTATAGTGAGAATTTTACAGTGAGAACATCCCAAGAGAGTCACTTTAGGAAGGTTATACTGAAGCATATATCATATCCAGCTGGCTGCTGGGGCTGTCAGTTTTTCTCTTTTCAAAACAAAGGAAGGAGGGACTGTTGAGCATCACTGAGTGTGGGGCTGTCGTGTCTCCTACGAGCCAATACTGCAGCGCCGGCAATTGTAATTTGACGGTGGTCGGCAAAAAGCTCCAGAGTTGTTAAAAGCGGTTGCAGTCACCACATTTTACCTCAGGATGTCTACATTATGCACCTTATTTATTGTCAATCACACAACAAAAAAATGTGCTGTCTTGTATCAATTGTTTCTGCAGTGATTTTCTTGTGCATAGGTTTATTTTAGTTGCACATGAAGAACAGCCTAAACAGGACTTTAAAAATAAGCATTGTACATTATAAAACCTAATAAATAAGCCTATCTGCCCAGTCTTGTGCTTTAGAAGTAGATAAACCAATGGAGGACAGCGTGTTAAGTTTACTTTTGTGGTTTAATGTTATGGAGAAAACTTAGTACAATATATATATTTTTAATTGAAAGCTCTTTTTTTACTTAAATGCACCTGAAGAAGCTTTAGAGAACGTATGGATTTCAGTACAGCACAACACCGGGATCACGTACCACAGCCCTCCTGACAAGTACACACACACTAAAGAATGATGAATAACATGCTCATCAGGCCTTTATTAGTCAAATGAGATGATTTACTAACAGCTACAAAAGAAAACTCAATGTCTTTACACAAATGATTTTTTTATAATTATTCTAAGCCCATGCACAAGATATTCATAATATTTAGGACAAAAAAATACAAATCTTGGACATAGATGCAGTTACAGACAGTAGGAAAAAACTTGCACAGTGGAGTGCACCATTAACAATAAAGCTCATATGGTTTCCACAAGGTAAAAAAAATTAATGCACATGATTTTGCATAGACAGAATGGAGAAGTGCAGCAAGGAATGTAGAGGACAGGTAAGCCGGAGCTTTGAAGCAACCCTCCAACAGGCGGGTTTTGTGGTCTAAATTCAGTGTCTGTAGTCCTCTGCTCCTCTCTTTTTATTACTATTTCCCATAAAATTTCTTGTTGAGAAGAAAAATAAGCAAGTTGACATTGACAGTGGCTCTATCGAAGAGCTTCATCACAGCCACGCCTTCGTACTGCAGCTGGAGGAGGTCCTGAGCGGCAGAAACACAGAGACAGATGAAACACACACTCTAAAACCTTCGTGTTGCTCCTGTACAGGGGATGTAAAGGAAAAGATGACGTTACATACTTGATATTCTAACTGTAACGTCTCCAAGTGCACACCCATGAGCTTGGCCTTAACATCGAACACTCCAACAGTCTCTGATGGAGAGATCTCAAATATAACATTCTTGTACCTATAGGGGACAAAGAGGATAGGCGGGTTTAAAGCGAGGTGGCTGATTTACAATTTTCGATCACAATTGGGAACAAACAGATGAAATGAACCCACTGGTTAGGCTGCAGATCGTCTATTGAGATCAGTACACCCTTCTCATGGAGCCGAGCCGCTGTGTATTTCTGTGAAACTTGTTTACTCTTCTTGGCCTTGCTGTCGCCTGGTTTCTTTGACAACCTGAAAAGAGAACAAACATTCTACTTTCTGGAATCAGTCGGATATTTTATCATGGGCCTGTTTCACAGCAGACATCTCGACTTGAAAGACTGGTGAAAGCACGGATGTTTTAACATCCACTTCCACTAAATGGATTACAGCCCTTACTATTGCTACCTGTGCTTTCCACTTGCTTTCAAGTAAAAATGTCTGTTGCAAGAAAGTCAATAGACATCTGCTGAATTATTTATTTTAATTACTGACCAGGTAGTCTGTTTAATTAGCCTGGCAAGCCATTCTATATGTAAAGTCGCTTTGGAGAAAAGCGTCTGCCAAATAAATAAACATAAATAAACATAAACATAAATAAAGTCTGGCCACGACTCGTAGAACCTAGTCATAGGGCAAAGGCTACAGTTGTCTTTCAGCCCGTATCTGCGCACATCTGGATAGCACTAGGACTAGGGCTGCATGATATCAGGAAAGCCTGTGATATTTGATAACAACAATTAATATTGCGATGACGATATTACTTGCGATAAATAAAAACTTAACTCAGGAACAAAAATAATCAAAAACAAAGAAATAAAAAATAATCATAAAAATGAGAAATTGTGAGGAAAGGAAAAAAGAAAATGAACAAGAAAAGGCAATCAGTGGATCCCGAGATAAAACAGAATCAGCAAAAAGAGCTGAACAAAGCTAACTCAGGTGTTTGCTAACCATCAAAATTAAGTGCCATCCACCTCGAGGGCGATCAATGACATCTAACCCAACTGGCCAAATGGGTGAAGAGGTCCATTTGATTTGTTAAAAAAACATCATGCTTCCCTTTGATTGACTGAATGCATCATGTGTAGCGAACATTTGAGCTGACCATTCATTGCGACATTTATCTGTTCTTTGCGATATGCATATTATGCATGCTGATGTCGCGATAACGATATATTTACAATATATTGTGCAGCCCTAGCTAGGACCAATCAGAGCAACAGACAACGTGACGTATTTACTGCTATGTAAATCCCTCAATGGGGCCGTCAAAAAAGAAGACGACGCAAATACAGCCTTTTTCTAAATAAAGGTCTTAAAGGTAGAATATGGAACATTTTAATAAAATCTATATTAAAAAAAAATAATACCTGCACAGGGCATTCAGAGGTGTTCAGGATTAATGTACAGTTTCTCCTTTTAAAGCTATATTTAAATAAATAAATAATTACTATTTTACTTTGCCGGGCACGGCACTGGGTTTGAGTTTACATCTACCAGCCACTAGAGGGCACCTTTGCGCTAAAGAGTCCGCTCAGCAAGGCGAGGCTGGGACTCTGTAAAATGATGGACTTGACAACTCGAGCAGCTGATTCTGAGCCCAGAAGATGTTCTAACGGTAAATAGTGTTGTAAAATAAACTCATTAGTAGAAATTAGTCCTCATCCTGTACGATTTACATGTCAGCAGTGAACCAACATCCCAACGGCTAGAAAATGGTTCTGTTGTTGCGATACCACCTCTGAACGCCAGAGTTCGCCAGAGTGTCTGTGTTCCACATTCAACCTTTAAGTACCTCTATCTGCTCACGGCTCAAAGACTCAAAGATGGCTCAAGTCTAAATCGTCCAAAGTTGATACCAAAGCCATTTCTAATGAGCACTGTTCCTAAGCTGATGCCATCTTTGTGATTTTTCTCTATTGCAGCTCTGGTGCTAAGCCTGCCCAAAGTCTCTACAAACGTCCTAAAATTGCTGGGGCCAACGGTAGACCCCAATGGGGCTACAATGGAGCGAGGCTAGACCGACCTGCAGAGCAAAACCTTTTGCTATTCTAACGGTTTGTCTAGATTTCGAGTCTTTTGTTTCACGTCTTCAGAAGTTCACAAAACACATCGTTTGATACAAATTCTAACCTTTGGAACATAGATGGTGATCGTCGTGGACAGAAAACACAAAACCACCAAGAGGTTCATTTTTACGAGCTGAGATCATTTCAAGCCTGAGAAACCTTACAGGTGGTCATTTCTGGAAAGGTATACTGCATCACCTTTGCATCAGGCTGTTTACACAGCACCGTGTCGCAAAACAAGAATCTGATGCAGAAGTGCAAAGGTGGTTTTAGTTAACTACGAGGGACGTAGAAAGCGAGTAACCTTAGAGGAAGTCTACTCACTTGCCCTTGCTGGCCAGGTTGTCCATGCACGTCTTGATGTACTGGTTGTAAGAATCAATCTGCATGTTGTAAAAACTGGTTTTTGAATTCAGAGCTGAGTTTGTCTGCTGAAGTTTCACAAGCTCGGCTTTCCTTCGCTGCCGATATCGCCTCTGATTCCTGATGTCCTGTAGATTACACACACACACACACTGAGGAGCTTGTACATCTGAAGGTTCATTTCCAGATTTGCTCGAGTGGTTTAAACCTTGGCGATGTCGTTGATGAGGTCCTGGTAGCGGTTCTCAGGATGAACCTTCCCCAGCTCTGCCAGCCTCTGCAGGTTGCTCTTGATCTTGTCCTTTTTTCCCTGCAGAGTCAGGCTGTCGTCCACCACCGGTTTGACCTGCTTCATCTTCTCTGGAGTCTTGGCGTCTCGGATCGCCCTCCTCTGCATGGCACGCTGATACTCCGCTTCCTAGAAGAACAGCACGGATTATGGCTTCAGACAAATATTTTAAAGAGAAATTAATGCTTAAAGTGCAAAATGTTGTATGTGGAAAAAAAAAACTTGTATGGATCCTATGTAAACATATAACTAATTTGGGTTTTAATTCATGTAAATTAACACATTAAAATTCAGGGCAACAGAAATAACTTGTTATATTTATTATTAGGGCTAAAAATCTTCCATTTTCTACTATTTTGCCAAAGAGGAGTTAAGTTTGCATGAACTTGATCAATTACAAAGTAAAGTCAGCTTCGGACATGTTGGGATAACGAGTTCTCGTTTTGTGCCTGAAGGCACCACAGTGTTTTTCCACTCAATCTAACATGGCACACACACCCTCTGGTGTTTGCCGTGTGAAGCGTTGAACTACGGACATTCAGGAGCACAAACCCAGAAAGCTGTCCACATCACCAGCCGAGCGTTGCTGACCTGTTCTGTGGTGGCCGTCGAATCCAGGATCTCCGTCAGAGTCTCTCCGGGCTGAAACCGGATCACATCCACGATGAGCCTCTTGGTGCTGCAAACAGCGAACCAGGTGATGTGAGGAATAAAGATAACCCCGATGCACAAACTCTGTTAAAGGTGTGTGAACTCACTTGAGCAGGAGGGTCTTGGCGTCCATCTCAACGTTGGCCTCACCAGGAACATCAAACTTATTGGTGAGAGTGAGAGAAACCTCCGTCTTTCCCATCAGCTCCTTATTGGGGTCATCAGGAGGAAGAGGATTTTCACCTGAGCCAGACGAAGAGCAGAAATAGTCAGAATTGGACTCTCCGGGGCTGATTTTATCCCAAATGTAACCTGATGATTATAGCTGAAGTCATAATAAAAAAAGAGTCAAAACTAATCAGTTTTCTGGAGATTTACCCATGACACCACCTCAGAGTCAGTGAGGCTGAATTATTGTTCCAGAGCTGTGTCGTTTTCTAAAGCCTCAATGGGAGGCAGCTGTTGGCGACATCAGCGAGGGAGTTTACAAAATGTCTCAAAACAATTACGAGCATTCTCAATTTTGAAGAACATAACGGTTTTGTTGCTTGAATTACGAACAAGTTAAAGTTTTTTCAGAACAGATGTTTGTGTTGACAGACGCAGAGGCCTAGGGGCTGCTTTTAGCTTACAGCTGTGCTTTCTCATAAAGTGGTCCCAGGACTAAAACAGCACCTGTGATTCCTTTATGTTACCAATTAGATTCACTTGCAGTCAGTCTGATTATTTAGGTCACCAAGCAGGATTGGGATCACTACTGAGTGATTTTCAAGTCATTTTTACTCACAATGCTAGTTGGATCCATTCACTTACTGTGTTTTATGCTAAGCTAAAGCTAAAGGAGTACTACCAGGTCAGGAGAATGACTGGGCCGGTTAAAAATGGTTTTTCCCCACGTATCCAACTCTGGGAAATATGTCAACAGACAGCATTTGAATTATGGGTGGAACACCCCTTTAGTTTCGGAGTCAGATTGTGGGACACCTTTAGGAGGGGTTGGTGACCAAACTGGAAACATAATGAAGGTGAACTGTGACATAATTAAAAGACTTTGTGACAACATTGCAACCAGAAAATTTTAAACTAAAGTCACATGAATGTCTCATTATTATGATTTGCAATTACGTCATATTTCAAATGGTGGAGCCATAAAATAATCTCTAAAATGGGCCATGCGTAATAAACTAAACTGTTACTTGTTGCAAAGTTTTGGGCCATTCCCATCCGTACCGGGTCGGCCCGGGTCGGCAGCGTAGGTTGTTTAAGCCCCATTCCCATCTGTACCGGGTAGCCCCAGCCTGGCCCGGTTGTTTCCACACATCCTTGCTTAGGTATGCAAGGAATGCAGTCAGAGACACTTTCAGCTTCTGGGTAATCAGCATGATAATGAATGATAATGAATTGAGCATGCCTTAAGCCCATGTGGGCTGATTCTACCCACCAATCAGAGGCTTGCTCTAATGGAAGGTGTGAATTTGCTGTCAGCAGTGGGTGTGTTGGCCCTGGTCGGCCTGAAGCAGACCCCCTCGAGAAGAGGGCTGAGAATGAGCCTTGGTTGGTCCGGAAAAATACCAGGCCACCCAGATATGTAAACAACCTACGCTACCCGGCCCGGGCCGACCCGGTACAGATGGGAATGGCCCATTAGAGTTTCCAACTAGGAAAAGAACGTGGCTTTACTCTTTGCATCAGTGCTTCCCTTACATAGGCTCAGGACACACACACGCACGCACGCACGCACACACACACACACCCATACACACACACACACACACACACACGGAAGTGAAACAATCCACACGCACTGCCTCCCTCTGCATTTTAGAAACTGGCTTTCCTTCCTTATCGTGGTGGAGGAGTTTGAGTGCCCTAATGATCCTAGGAGCTATGTTGTCTGGGGCACTTAGTGCCCCTGGTAGGGTCTCCCATGACAAATTGGTCTTAGGTGAAGGGTGAGACAAAGAACGGTTCGAAGGATCTTTCATGGCGGTGAAAACGAAGAGTCGGAGTACCCGGCCCGGAGGGTTACCGGGGTCCCACCCTGGAGCCAGGCCTGGGGTTGGGGCCCGTGAGCGAGCGCCTGGTGGCCGGGCTTTCGCCCATGGGGCCCGGCCGGGCCCAGCCCGAACCGGATACATGGGCTCGTCCAACTGTGGACCCACCACCCGCAGGAGGAACATGAAGGGTCCGGTGCAATGTGAATCGGGTGGCAGACCAAGGCGGGAGCCTTGGCGGTCCAATCCCCGGACAAGAAAACTAGTTTTTGGGACATGGAACGTCACCTCGCTGGTGGGGAAGGAGCCGGAGCTTGTGGCAGAGGTTGAGCGGTACCGGCTAGATATAGTCGGACTCACCTCGACACATTGCATTGGCTCTGGAACCCGAGACCTGGAGAGGGGTTGGACACTCTACTTTGCTGGAGTTGCTCCGGGTGAGAGGCGGAGGGCTGGGGTTGGCTTTTTGTTAGCCCCGAGATTCTCTGCCTGTGTGTTGGGGTTTACCCCGGGGGACAAGAGGGTAGCTTCCTTGCGCCTTCGGGTCGGGGAACGGGTCCTGACTGTTGTTTGTGCTTATGGGCCAAATATCAGTTCAGAGTACCCACCCTTTTTGGAGTCCCTGGGACGAGTGCTAGATAGTGCTCCATCAGGGGACTCCATTGTCCTGCTGGGGGACTTCAATGCTCACGTGGGCAATGACAGCTTGACCTGGAGGGGTGTGATTGGGAGGAACGGCCCACCTGATCAGAACTCGAGCGGTGTTTTGTTATTGGACTTCTGTGCAAGCCGCAGTTTGGCCATAACGAACACCATGTTCGAACATAAGGATGCCCACCGGTACACTTGGTACCAGGGCAGCCTAGGTCACAGGTCGATGATAGATTTTGTAGTCGTATCATCTGACCTGCGGCCGTATGTTTTGGACACCCGAGTGAAGAGAGGGGCGGAGCTGTCAACTGATCACCACCTGGTGGTGAGTTGGATCAGATGGCAAGGGAACATGCCGCGTAGACCTGGCAGACCCAAACGCATAGTGAGGGTCTGCTGGGAACGCCTGGCAGAAGAACCTGTCAAGACGGTCTTCAACTCCCACCTCCGGCAGAGCTTTGACCACGTCCCGAGAGCAGTGGGGGACATTGAGTCCGAGTGGGCCTTGTTCCACTCTGCGATTGTCGAGGCGGCTGTTGCTAGCTGTGGTCGTAAGGTGGCCGGTGCCAGTCGTGGTGGCAACCCCCGTACCCGCTGGTGGACACCAGAGGTTCGGGGAGCCGTCAGGCTGAAGAAGGAGGCCTACAGGGCGTGGCTGGTCTGTGGGTCTCCGGAGGCAGCAGACAGGTACCGGATAGCCAAGCGGGGTGCAGCAGTGGCAGTTGCCGAGGCAAAATCTCGGGCGTGGGAGGAGTTTGGTGAGGCCATGGAGAAAGACTATCGATCGGCTCCAAAGAGGTTCTGGCAAACTGTCCGGCGCCTCAGGAGAGGAAGGCAGCAACTCGCTCACACTGTTTACAGTGGGGATGGGGAGCTGCTGACGTCAACTGAGGCTATAGTCGGACGGTGGAAGGAATACTTTGAGGAGCTCCTCAATCCCACCAATGCGCATTCCGAGGAGGAACCAGAGCTGGGAGGCCTGGGGATGGACTGTCCGATCTCGGGGGCAGAAGTTGCTGAGGTAGTCAAACAACTACACAGCGGCGGAGCCCCGGGGGCGGATGAGGTTCGTCCTGGGTATCTCAAGGCTATGGATGTTGTAGGGCTGTCATGGTTGACACGTCTCTACAACATTGCGTGGTCATCGGGGGCAGTTCCTAGGGAGTGGCAGACCGGGGTGGTGGTCCCCATCTTTAAGAAGGGTGACCTGAGGGTGTGTTCCAACTATAGGGGGATCACACTCCTCAGCCTCCCTGGAAAGGTCTACGCCAAGGTACTGGAGAGGAGGGTCCGATCGATAGTTGAATCTCAGATAGAGGAGGAGCAATGTGGTTTTCGTCCTGGCCGTGGAACTGTGGACCAGCTCTATACCCTTGCAAGGGTGATGGAGGGGGCATGGGAGTTTGCCCAACCAATCCACATGTGCTTTGTGGATTTGGAGAAGGCTTATGACCGTGTCCCCAGGGGCACCCTGTGGGGGACGCTCCAGGAGTATGGGGTGGGTGGCTTTCTGTTAAGGGCCATTCAGTCCCTTTACCAGAGGAGCGTGAGTTTGGTCCGCATAGCCGGTAGTAAGTCGGACCTGTTCCCAGTGAGGGTTGGACTCCGCCAGGGCTGCCCTTTGTCACCGGTTCTGTTCATCACTTTTATGGACAGAATTTCTAGACGCAGCCGTGGTGTGGAGTGTGTCGAGTTTGGTGGCAGGAGAATCTCGTCTCTGCTTTTTGCGGATGATGTGGTCCTCCTAGCTTCATCCAGCTCTGACCTTCAGCTCTTGCTGGGTAGGTTCGCGGCCGAATGTGAAGCGGCTGGGATGAGGATCAGCACCTCCAAATCTGAGACCATGGTTCTCGACCGGAAAAGGGTGGCTTGCCACCTCCGGGTCGGGGGAGAGGTCCTACCTCAAGTGGAGGAGTTTAAGTATCTCGGGGTCTTGTTCACGAGTGAGGGTAGGAGGGATCGGGAGATCGACAGGCGGATTGGTTCGGCGTCTGCAGTGATGCGGACGCTGAGCCGATCTGTCGTGGGGAAGAGGGAGCTGAGCCAGAAAGCCAGGCTCTCGATTTACCGGTCGATCTACGTCCCAATCCTCACCTATGGTCATGAGCTTTGGGTAATGACCGAAAGAACGAGATCGCGGATACAAGCGGCCGAAATGAGTTTCCTCCGTAGGGTGGCCGGGCTCAGCCTTAGAGATAGGGTGAGGAGCTCGGACATTCGGGAGGGACTCGGAGTAGAACCGCTGCTCCTCCGGATCGAAAGGAGCCAGTTGAGGTGGTTTGGGCATCTGGTCAGGATGCCTCCTGGACGCCTCCCCGGGGAGGTGTTTCGGGCATGTCCTGCCGGCAGAAGGCCCCCGGGTCGACCCAGGACACGTTGGAGAAGTTACATCTCCAATCTGGTCCGGGAACGCCTTGGGGTCCTGCCGGAGGAGCTGGTGGACAAGGCCGGGGAGAGGACGGCCTGGAGCTCCCTAGTTGGGATGCTGCCCCCGCGACCCGGACCCGGATAAGCGGAGGAAGACGACGACGACGACGACGACGACGACGGCTTTCCTTCTCCTCAAGACATTTTTGCACGAGATCAAGAAAAAGAGTTACTATCACTTGACGTATCTCTGCCACCAGAATCTTCCTCCTCTTCTTCCTCAACTCACCAATGAGAGACTCCACAGTGGGAACTTCTCCCAGGTCCTCCAGCAGCTCATGGATCGCATCATTGTGTTCTGGAGCGATGGCATCCTGGTGGTCCAGCAGCAGCTGAAGGGTCACATCTTAGTTATTCACTCTCTCTGAAAACATTTGGGACTAAACAGCTGATATGTGAGTCAGGCAATGCAATCTTACAGTGTGAGTGTTTATGATCTCTCCGATGGAGATGTAGATCACAGGTTTGCTGACTGTGACCAGATCCGAGTACTGATCCACGTTGAACTTGTCTTCAAGCGAGGGAACGTCACACGCAGTCAGGAAGTAACGCCTGTGATAAAAGACGGAGAGATGAAGTCACACAAGCTCAGGGAGACGAGCTTTAACCACAAAGGCAACAAAACACAATTATATAGGAGACTGGTTGAACCCTGAAGGGAAACTACTTTAGAGCAGATAGCTTCACGTTTTTCATCAGACCAGACCTGAACTTCTGGTAGGAGGCACCGAGATATTCATTGATGGGATTTAGGTGGGCGTTGTCTCCCAGGAACATCTTATTGGACGCAGCGTGCTGCAGCATCTTGGCCACGGAGCCCAGGTTTCGTCGCTGCTCGGTTGTTAGCTGACCACCAGCGGACATCTCAATGATGTCAAAGGCATCGGGTGCAACGATGGCAGGGTTCATGTAGCGGTAATACAAAAGGTTCCCCACGATCTGAAAGGTCAATCAGGTAACGTGACAATATTCAGAATGAGAGACACAAATCAGCTTTAGTTTAGATTTTTGCTAAAGTGCTTCAAAGCAGATTATTAAGATTTCTACGTTTACTGGGATTGCTGTTACAGGTAATCACTGGTTCTGTCTCAGACTGACCATGAGGGAAACCAGGAGACTGAAAGTTGGTGAATGAACAGCAGGATGCAGACATGTGTGAGTTTAAGCAGCTTGAGAAGGATGCTAGATGGCCTGGCTCACCTTTACATCAGCAGAGAGAAGGAGGCCGCCTGAAATTCAGCAAAAAGAGACCGCAGCTGGTTGGAAACGTAGAGAGAAAAGAGCCACAGCAGGAAAGGGGAAAGAGAAATGTAACAAAAAAGAGAGACAGAACAGGAGGGAGGCGAACACAAGCCATTAGAGAAGCACAACGTGACGAGAAGCTCTGAGAGGGAAAACATGAAGGTTAAAAGGTCAGTTCACAATGTTCACTGGTGTTCTGTTACAGCGCGACCAACATGGTTCGTCTGAAATAGAATGTCACGCTTCTGAAAGATTCAACTGATTTCTTTTTGCAGAAAACGGAAAAAATAATCTTTTAAAACACGAATAGTTTCAAGAATAAAACAAATGCAACAAAATGACATAAAACTCCAGTGTGTTTTGCCCTCATTCTGTCGTCTCATTGCCCTGACTTTTTAAAACACCACAAAGTGTTTCAGGTTAGCCGAGTCTTACGAACTGCTCTATTTAGGAGGCAGGAACAGGTAAGGGCATGTTTGCAGAACTTTTTGTGATCATTTGAAGCCGAAATCAAACTACACATTTAATAACTGAACAGATCTAATAAAATGTACTACCCCAGATAAATGAATCACATTGTTTTGTGTCATTTGATAAATAAAACAGTTAGGCGAGCCTCCTCCACATGACTTGTGAGCAGACGTAGGAAAGCTTCAGGTCTACTTAATTCATGGCTTTAATGTAAACCCGAGTCTCAGTTTCACATCCGTGTGAAATAATCTACATAGCTGCATTAAATACAAAATGAGTATGTTTGTGATATGAGGGAAGTGACTCGATACGCAAATGACAAAGCAAAAATGTGGACCTTGAGCAGCTCGTCCTCCGTAGAATCTGGGAACTTCTCATGCAGCGTGTCCTTCAGCACCTTGGAGATGAACCGCATTCCATATCTGAGAGTCAAAACCCACACAAACAGTCAGATGGGCAAACCCGCCCTGAGAAAAATATATACAGAAAAAAAGGATTTATATGATGCTAGAAATGAGGCGCGTACGGGATCGTATCCACCGAGACAATGATGGCAGACAGGAATTTATCTGTGATGGTCTTCATGGTTTTGATGGAGGCCTCCAGCCTCGTTCGCACCTCCTCATGGGCCATAGCTTGTTCTGGAGTTACGTCATAGGGCAGCTTGCTGTCAACATGAGAGCAAAGAGGATAAATCACCAAACCGCTCTTCACCGCTGAGCCATCTAAACGCCTTCATCTTGTAAAATGACAAATAATTATAATAATAAATAAGAGAATAAATACAAATTTGCATTTGCAAAATTAGGTGCAAGTCCTAATGCATGACCTACAAGACACAAAACCAAGTTACATTTAGGTCTTAACTTTTAGGCTAGCTGAGAGCTCAATGAGCTGAAGCTAAAGAGGAAAATTACACAAATAACTACACAGAATTCATGAAAATCATGAAAAACAACCATAATGCTGTTTGACAGGAGGAACTACATCCGCTCGGATCATTTGCAAACTAACTGCTGCAAATAATTAGAGGGAAATAAAAAATAAACATTAAAAATGCTCCCAAAAGCCCGAACTAACACGCACGTCTCAAAGTGTTACAGCAAACGCAAAATACATGAAGTTGCTGCAAATCTTCAGAAACAGAAAAGATTCCCGGAAGCAAAAAAAGGTGGTAGAATTATTTTTCCACATTTCTTTAGAATGCAAAACTGATCTAGCTAAAACCAGTCTGAAAATGAAGATTTGACTTCTCTAAAATAAGACGCTTTTCCTTCACGAGGTTTGTGAGGTGGGAGCGAAACCGTCCCGCGGTCCCGAGCTTTGGGAACCTGGACACACCGCAGCTCACCTAGCCTCTCCGGTCTGCGTCTCCATCTGGTTCACCCAGCTCTTGTAGATGTCCACCGGGTCGGTCTTGATGTTTAGCGTTTTGTCGTCCATGATCTCCTTGACGACCGGAGCCAGGATCTGCCTCAGAGCGTTCTGTCCTCGTGCACCGCGGTGGAAGCTCACCACCATCTTGATTACCGTGGGGTTTCCTGTGACGATCTCCTTCATCTGATCGACTTTTGACCTGCAGGCAGTTTCCCAAAGCACATGACTTTTAACACAGAGCTCCAGTTTAAACACTGTTCAGTTTTCATTCAGTTAAGACACAAATGCATGCCTCATGTTGAGTTTGTGCAACAGATGATTATTCAGATGATTAAAATACACCAGCTGTAGAAAAAAAACAAGAACTTGCTGTATTTGAGTAAGAACAGATCTGAAGTGAAAGTGTGGTTTTAAACCATGGGTCCTGGTTTTGTCCTTACTTGATCTCCTCCTGCAGAGCCGTCTTGAAGAGTCTGAGTAGCAGGTACTCCTCTCGCTGGTTTGATGCGTAGTTATACAGGGTGAAGATCACAGAATCCATGAACTTTGTGGATTTATTCTGTGGCATCTGGAAGATCAGCTTGGCAAGATATACTGGGTTGGTCTACAAGGAAGAAGAGAGATGAGCGATAGTGAAGTGGTTGCTCTTCATCAGAAGAACATAAACTCTTTATGGTCACCTGTAAAAGGTAAAAGAGGTGCTGGTAGGCCTCCAGTTTGACCCTCTTCTCCTTGCTGAGGGCCTTCAGGCCTCCCCTCTGCTTGTTCATCATCATCATGTCTGATAGCTGGCTCTTGTTCTTCTTGGTCAGCTTTTTGCTGTGGGACACCACCTCCTGCAGGGTAATCTTGTTCTTCACCAGCAGGCCGATTTTGATGTCCATCAGGTTCAGGTCGTTCTCCAGCTGCTGGTTGGAGCGGATGTTTGTGACCACCTCCTCACGGAGCCGCATCAGCTCCAACTCCTCCTGGAAGTCCTGGTCGCTGTGGTCCAGAAGGTGGACGAACTTCCTCACCACGGCCATTGGCGGGTCTTCGGCGCTGACTGTGGAAAGGTCACAGAGATATCCGTGATCCGAGGCTCACAAGCTACCTGATCCTAACGGCGGGTGAGCCTAGCCCACTCACTCAGAGTCTTGTAGTCATCCCTCGCTTTGTTGGCTCGAATGAAGGCCTGAATCTTCACCACTTCACCGATCTGCAGTGACAAACATCAATCACCTGGCTGATCAATAGTCCTCATTAGTTCTAAAAGGATGCAGAGTGAGTCAGAGAGGAAATGACATCACATAAGTCACGGTGCTAAATGAGCCTCTACCCCTGCAGGCTGGTGAGTCAGGGGAAATTCATCTCCCCACCGATTTAAAGCTTTCATTAAGCAACTTGTTTACAGTTCACTTGAGCTTTCCTGACAGAAAATGATACATTTCTTGTTTCTCCCAAATTTAATGAACAGCTACGTTAAGGAACCCCCGACTCACGTGGTCGTGGAAGTACTGGAGCCGATCCTTGTACTTCTTACGAGCTTGATGCATACGGACCAGGGACTGGATCTGAGAGGCAAAAACAACTCCTTCAGCGATTACTGAAAACTAACATTTCTGCATGGACTTGTTAATGATGTTACCTTAACAGCCTCTTCAGAATGATCTTCCAGATACTGCTTACGCTCATTAAACTCCTTCCTCTGTTTGTATCCCTTCCAGTGGGCCTGAGAAGAAGGTTCTGGTTTCAGGCTGGTATTTCTGATCATCTTTACCCTCTGAGTGACGAGTTTAACCACGGCAAGCTCACCTGTATCCGTGTAACAGCCGGGTCCTGGGATTTCAGGAAGTTCATCCGCTCCTTTAAGCCATTCCTCACCATATAACCACGGCAGCGAGCCTGAAGCTTTGTGATCAGAGTCTCATTGGCCAGCCAGAGCTGCTCTCGGTTGTAGGCTGTGGTTACCCCAGAAACCACCCCCTAGGAGGAGAATCTAACTCTTAAATGTGGTCTTAAGGAGCTTGAAAAGACAATTCTGAGAAGATCCTGACCTGGATGTCCTCCTTATTGAGCTGGGTGTTGTTTTGCACAAAGTTCTCTGGCGCTACCCACGTTCCCTCTTTGGTCTGCAGGTTGTAGTAGTAGTTGTGTCCTCCCTTCACCCAGTGCTGCACCCACTCACTGCTATCATCACCTGGGCAGGTAGGGTTTTGGGTCGAGGAGACCAGAGAGAGGTGTTAAGTGGTGCAGACGGTTCAAACCAAGCATAACTGACCCATCCCCACCTGAGCTCATCTCCTACCGTCCTGGAACATTTTTGCAAACCAGTTTTCCAATAAAAGAACATTTCTTTATTTTTCACCATTTGTTCTTGTTGATGTTTATTCACAAAGAACAGAACAGGACAGCTTTTTGAGGATTTCTGACAAATCCCTTCTGAGGGGGCGTAGGCTTAACTGTCACAACTGCCTGCACCTGTGCAGGTGTGCATAAAGGCATGCCTGCTGAGACTTGAACCTGTTTGATTTTAAATTTCACATCCTAGACCCTTTTCTGAAGTCATCCTTTCTGTTACAAAAAAAAAACTCGTTTTGGTTTCAAATTTCTCCTCACCTTCCTTCTTCTTCTCCTCTTTAATGGTGGCCAGGTCGTCCTGATAGGTTTGTGCACACTCTGAGGTGACGCCATACAATCCTGCTCCAGGATTACGGAGAGCAACCAGAGTCTGAGCTGCATCACTGCCGTCAACTGCTTCATTAATGGCCTGGATGGACTGGGAGACTGCAGAGACAAACAAAACACACCACTTGGAGCTTCTGAAGGAAACAGACAGCAGACTGATGGACAAAAGTGTGTATTCTTACACTGTAAGGCGTCGCGTGTGTCCTGGTTTGCCCTCAGAATAGCATCCTGGATCTCATCCAGCCACAGAACAGCTGAAGAGTCCTGAGTCTCCTGAATAGACACAACAAAAAAAATAAACACACACAAATCCTATCTGATAAGTCTAAACAGCAAGTTGGAAAATTCAGTCAAAATCCAAACTTTGAGTTGCCTTAAATGGTTTTATATCACCACCACACCCAGGACTCAAATTACGGCATCTGCTACAGGTGACCCACTTTCTGCTTTATTTTAGATCTTTTGTGAAATTATGAATAGAGCTGAACAAGAACAGCTTGTTTAGAAAGGATGCATGAGACAACCTCATCTTTGTAAAAAGAAGAGTTTTCCTAATCCAGACTGCAAAACTGTAAAACCACTCTTGTTTGTAGTTTTATATCGTCCACCAGGCCTTTACTCAGAGTTTTTGGATCAGATCTCTGATTTTTTTTTAATCAGATTTGGTGCTAAATACTGATAAGGTCATTGTAGTGGGGGATTTTAATATTCATGTGGACATTGAAAATGATAGCCTCAATGTAGCCTTTAGTAATATCTTAGACTCAATTGATTTTACTCAAAGAATACATAGCTCCACCCACTCCTGCCATCATACATTGGACCTTGTGCTGACTTATGGCATAGAGTGTGAGGAAATAACGATCTTTCCACATAATTCAGTCCTCTCGGACCACTTTTGAGTTTTTTATAACTGCGTTCTCGAGACATGAAAGTAAATTTTACTATAGTCGGTCTCTGACAACGCAGTTGCATCTTTTAAATCAACTGTTCCATCTTTACTGTCCTCAGCATCTCAGAGGCATGTAGCAGAGGGCAATATTTTCAGTTCTAGCCCCTCACAAATTGATGCCTTAGTTCATCATGTTAATTCCTCTTTACGTGTGGCATTAGATGATGTTGCCCCTTTAAAAAAGAAGGTTATTAGGGACAGGAAGTAGGCTCCCTGGTTTAATTCTCATTTACGAGCCTTAAAACAAAACTAGGAAATTGGAGAGTACATGGCGCTCTACGCACCATGAGGAGGCCTACCTATCCTGGAAAAATAGTCTTGTGCTTTATAAAAATAAGCTTCGACAAACTAGAACTGCTTATTTTTCAGCACTAATTGAGGAGAATAAGCATTATCCTAAATTTCTTTTCAGTACAGTTGCTAAACTTACACAGAATCATAGCTCTGAGCCATCTATTCCCTTAGCCCTCAGCAACAATGACTTCATGGGATTTTTTACAAGTAAAATTAATTCTATTAGAAACAAAATCTTTAGCATCCTCCCTAATGCGATTTCTTCTTCCTCAGTAAGTGAGGCAGCATCAGAGGTGACTGTAGAACCTCATCTGTGCTTGAACCGTTTTGATCCAGTTGAGCTTTCAGAGTTATCAAAAATATTAGCTTCATCTAAACCTTCAATTTGCATTTTGGATCCAATCCCAACCAGATTATTTAAAGATGCATTTCCTTTGGTTACTGCCCCCATTCTAGATATAATCAATCCATCCTTAGTAAATGGGTATGTACCACAAGATTTTAAGGTTGTTGTAATCAAACCTTCACTTAAGAAGCCTTCTCTGGATCCAGATGACCCAATGAATTATAGACCAATATCTAACCTTCCATTTTTATCCAAAGTCCTGGAGAAAATAGTGGCCATCCAAGTATGTGAGCATTTAAACACTAATGCTCTGTTTGAGGAATTTCAGTCTGGTTTTAGAGAGTATCACAGCACTGAAACTGCATTAGTGAGAGTTACAAATGAAATTCTCATGGCCTCAGATAAGAATCTTGTGTCTGTTCTAGTCTTGTTAGATCTCAGTGCGGCCTTTGACACAGTTGATCACAATGTTCTTTTAGAAAGACTTGAACATGTTGTAGGGATCAAAGGAACAGCGTTAGGCTGGTTTAAATCCTACCTGTCAGACAGATTTCATTTTGTAAATGTACATGACAAATCGTCTTCATACTGCAGGGTTACTTGTGGAGTACCGCAGGGTTCAGTGCTTGGACCAATTCTTTTTACTATGTATATGTTCCCAATTGGTGAAATCATTAGACAGCATGGGATAAACTTCCACTGTTATGCTGACAATACTCAGTTATATTTATCCATTAACCCTGATGAACCTAATCGGTCGGGTAGATTACAGGCTTGTCTTGAGGACATAAAAAATTGGATGACTCTAAACTTTTTGCTTTTAAACCAAGACAAGACGGAAGTTCTCATCTTTGGACCAGAAATCCAGAAAAGGAAATTGCTTAGTCAATCACCTGACCTGAATGGCATTACATTAATCTCCAAGAACAAAGTAAGGAACCTTGGCGTTATCTTTGACCAGGACATGTCATTCAAATCCCAGGTTAAACAGGTTTGTAGGATTTCCTTTTTCCACCTTCGGAATATTGCTAAGATTAGAAGCATCCTTTCCAGGAGTGATGCTGAAAAACTAGTTCATGCATTTATTACATCAAGACTGGATTACTGTAATTCATTACTCTCAGGAAGTCCACAGAATGTAGTTAAAAGTCTTCAGCTTGTCCAAAATGTTGCAGCTAGAGTTCTGATGGGAATTAAAAAGAGAGATCATATCTCTCCAGTCTTAGCTTCCCTACATTGGCTACCTGTTAAATTATGAATAGATTTTAAGATCCTTCTTCTCACATATAAAGCTCTTAATAATCAAGCTCCATCATACATCAGTGATCTGATTGTTCCATATGTTCCTAACCGAGCACTTTGCTCTCAGACTGCAGGTTTACTGGTGGTTCCCAGAATATCTAAAATTAGGATGGGAGGCCGATCTTTTAATTATCAGGCTCCTCTCCTGTGGAACCAGCTCCCAGCTTTAGTCCGTGAGGCAGACACCTTGTCTACTTTTAAGAATAGGCTTAAAACATTTTTATTTAATAGGGCTTATGGTTAAAATCTGATGTTAGCCTAAATCTGGACAAGTGGGGGAGTAGAGGGGGGTGGAGTGTACAGTCGGTAAAGACGGCTCTCCCTTGCCCTGCCTCCAACATGCCTCCATCTAAATAGGATAGATTATCCAGAGTTATCTCTGTAGTTATGCTGCTATAGGTTTAGACTGCTGGAGGATACACTGACCACTTTTCACACTCCACTGCTTTCTTCTACTATCTGCTCTTTAACTAGTATTTTCAGCAATTTCAGCTGCTAACTTTATTTTCTCTCTAAGTGTTTTTCTCCCCAGAAGAAGCTACAATGATGTTCTGCTGAGCTGTGGTGGCCTCATGGAGGGGGCCATCGACTAGCACACTGCTGCTAACCACTTAAACTTTCTCCTTCTCCTGATAATAACTTTTTGCTTTCCTTGACGTTGGATGTGCTAATACTAGTTTATCTGTTTAATTATAGATCCACTAGGATAAATACAATAAAGTTTATCTCTCACCAAATAGAATATTTACTAAGAAATCACAATATAACTATAGACACCTTACTTTGTCTTGTGTGTGTGTGTGTGTGTGTGTGTGTGTGTGTGTGTGTGTGTGTGTGTGTGTGTGTGTGTGTGTGTGTGTGTGTGTGTGTGTGTGTGTGTGTGTGTGTGTGTGTGTGTGTGTGTGTGTGTGTGTGTGTGTGTGTGTGTGTGTGTGTGTGTGTGTGTGTGTGTGTGTGTGTGTGTGTCTGCTCTGTCTTCTCGATCCCCAGTGAGTCGTGGAGGATGGCTGTTTATACTAAGCCAGGATTCTCTGGAGGTTTCTTCCTGTTGAAAGGGAGTTTTCCTCTCCACTGTCGCTTTATGCTTGCTTAGTATGAGGATTGCTGTATAGTCACTGACACTAGTCAGTGACTTGATGCAATTTGCTGGGTTCCTTATATAGGAAACATTATTTCTGATTGGCTTAATGAACTGACCTGAATTGGAATTATGTGAAGTGCCTTGAGACAACTCTTGTCGTGATTTGGCGCTAAGAAAATAAAATTGAATTTAATTGAAGAGTTGTTTTGTAAAGCTGCAACTACGTGAACGACAAGACCTCTGAAACAACGTCTGTTTAAACAGAGGAGACCTAAAGGAATGTCTACCCATAGCACCATGTTTGGCACAAAAAACAGCTTATCAGCACACACACCTCCAACCAGCTGTCAGCATGGTAGAGGAGGGATGGTGATTTGGGTTCTTTGTAGTCCTCGTGAGTCCTGTAGTCTTCAATTGAGTCGGAAAAGTGTAGAAAACCTTCTTCAGGTCAGGGATGAGGTCCTGCTCCAAGTAGAGCAGTTTATCTCTGGGTTTTGAGTGAGGTAAAGATGGAGCACGAGATCGATAGGCGGATTGGTGCTGCGTCTGCAGTGATGCGGGCGTTGTACCAGTCCGTCGTGGTGGAGAGCTGAGCCGGAAGGTAAAGCTCTTGATTTACTAGTCGGTCTACATTGCTACCCTCACCTATGGTCACGAGCTTTGGGTAGTGACCAAAAGAACGAGATCGCGGATACAAGCGGCTGAAATGTGTTTTATCCACAGGGTGGCTGGGCTCTCCCTGAGAGATGGGGGAGAAACTCGGTCACATGGGAGGGGCTCGGAGTAGACCCGCTGCTCCTCCACATAGAGAGGAGCCAGTTGAGGTTGCTCAAGAATCTAGCTTGGACGGCTCCCTGGTGAGCTTTTCCAAGTACGTCTAACTGGGAGAAGACCTGAAGGAAGACCCAGGACACGCTGGACAGACAATGTCTCACGGCTGTCTAGGTAACACCATGGGATTCCCCCAGAGAAGATGGCCCAACTAGCTGGGGAGAGGGAAGTCTGGGCCTCTCTGCTTAGGTTACTGCCCCCGCGGCTCGACCCCGGGTGAGTGGAAGAAAATGGAAGGATGGAGTCCTCAAGTCCAGCATGAACTCCTCTGTGAACCAAATTATTCTAGAGACTAATAGGACTTCATCTGTCTGACAGCTGAAGTTTAGACTAAACCGGGTCATAAAACAGAACAATAGAGACTATTCAAGTTGACTGAAAAACAAAATACTCGGGTTTCAATGGTCTGGTCAAAGCATAGACATGACCTGATTAGAAACCACCGTCCATCAATGAACTGAAGCAACACTGTTACAGGAGTATGGAACAAAGTTCCTCTACAGCAGTGTGAGCCATCGATCAGTGTGAGCCATCGATAAGTCACTCAGAAAATGATGGAGTCACTACACATTACAGCCACGGCTGAATCAGAGGATGGCCTTGTCGGACTTTTTCTTAGGTACAACATACAATACCTCTATTTAACACAGGAAAAGGCTTAGATTACTGTTCATTTGTGTTGTTCCTTTTACAGACAAGCTCATTTTAAACAGCTGTAGTAATGCATTTTCTTCTGAATCTATTCTCACAATAATAACATTTGTAATTCCTTTAAATCATTACTAGTTTATCCTACAATGATCACATGTGGAAACGAAAAGCTTTCACCACCAAAACCTGCCGGCCTGTTTGTCGGCCTCAGACAACAGTAATCACGTCTGGGTAATAACCATAATCTCATATTCGACTGGATGGAAACAGCTGGATGAAAATAATAAAGCAAACATAATTACACCTTTTTGTTTTGTCTAGCATTTAACTGAAGTAGCTCACTGGTACACTTTAGACTTGCTGTATGAATTAATCTCGTCTCATACCTTTTGTTATCTCAACAGTTTTGTTTTAATGACATATTCCCTACACAGCCTTTTCTCCATGACTTAAATGTAAGGATGTGATGCTGCCACTAGATGGCACTCTCCACCTCTGTGCATCTGAAAATCTGCTTTCTAGAGCACCTCTCACTTGTCCCCACCCCTTCAAAAGTCCTGAAAGGAGGCACTGGGTGGGTGTGTGTGTGTGGGTGTGTGTGTTGAGCGGGTGAATCTGACACCTAAACTGGTGTCTGGGTCTGGTTGGAAGAGGAGAGGCAGCGTGAAGTGGTGAAAATCTGCAGCTGCAGCAGCAGTGAGCCCAACAGACTTCGACTTTCGGTCAACAGACCTGAGCGAGCGCTGATTAGTGTTTGTGCGTTTCCATTTGCTGCTGTAATTGCTATTTGTGGATGACTCACTGCAGCTGAAAGGAGGCCTTAGATGGCGTGGTGTCAGAGTGAGCGGGCAGGGCGGAGGGCGATGGCTGGACAGTTTGATTTTCTCTTTATTAGCACATCATGGAAATAAAGGAAGTGAAAGCTGCGGCAGTTGAAGACTAAAACTATCGAACATTTTCTTCTCCCCTTCGTAGAATTTCCTCAGATATCCAGATCAGCACTGTACCATTTAGTTAAACAGGTAGCTTAATCCTCCAGGTCACACACACAAGTAAAAAGTGTTAAAATTTTGTCTGGATCTACAAAGTTATGGTAACATGACTAGAAGTCTCCGTCTCCAGAACAACACGCTGCCAAACTGAAATTCAGAGTGCCTGTGGTGATTTCCTGCAGCAACAAAGTGAAGTGATCAGTATCTAAAAAAGGCACAACATTCAGCTTTAGTCAGAAGAGTCTGGTCAGGACTTCCTGCTGTTTATCTAAGCCCCGCCCACATATTTTATCTGTGGTTTGGACTGTTCTAATACTGTACATCTAATGAGGCAACGCAGTCGGAAACTAAAACACTCGCCCGTTACTTCTCCCTCCTCCCCAGACCCACGTGGACTGAAGGCATTTAGGTTCTCTACATGTGACCAGTCCTTCTTGGAGAAGATAACTGATGATCCTGCTTTGGGGCTGAGGAATCAAAGACCTGAAATCCAACAGGAAGCTGCTCTAATCGTTTCCTGCATCTTCAGATCATCACTGGGACCAGAGAGAGTGAGTGTGTGTGTGTGCGTGCGTGCGTGCGTGCGTGCGTGCGTGTGTGTGTGTGTGTGTGTGTGTGTGTGTGTGTGTGTGTGTGTGTGTGTGTGTGTGTGTGCGTGTGTGTGTGTGTGTGTGTGCGTGCGTGCGTGTGTGCGTGTGTGCGTGTGTGTGTGTGTGTGTGTGTGTGTGTGTGTGTGTGTGTGTGTGTGTGTGTGGTCAGCTTTCTGTCCTTTTATGGAAACAAATGACTCGGACCCTGATTTCCTGTCGGTGTTTTCTTTTTGAGTAACCCCTTCTAAGAGTTTCCAAATGATGCCTTTCAAGTTTTTTTAAGTAACGGATTCTATTTGCAGTAAAACTACAGCAGGCTGTGGCCTTGAGCATGAAACCCCCTTTTCATCCATCTCTACACAAAACAAAAGTTAACTGAGCTAAAAGTAGCACTTTCCTTTAAAACTGAACGAGTAATAACTTCCAGGTCATGCCTGGCTAGTATTTTTAGCTCCAGTGTGATTTTTCTGCTCTGCAGCAAAACTGTAACCAGCATCTTATCTGCAGCTCAACCTTTGTTTCTCTTAAGACAAGAAAACGGGCCAAATAAGGTGCTCTGCTTGTAACGTCACATGCAAATGAGCTGTGCATGTGCTCAAACAATAAAACCACACTCATCACTGATGATAACTCAGGCAAATGAGTCAGAGAGAGCACGATGAAGTGCTCGAGATCCTGTTTAACGCGTGTCAAGGTCTGAAACCAAAGAGCAAAGACAGAAGGGACCTACACTTCTCATAAAGATATACAACAGGAAGTGAGAGGGGGAAGGAGAGAGGATAACACCATGACATCAGCATCTGCTGGAAGCCTGACTAGCATGGAGACATCTGCAACAGATCTAATAAAATACAGCTTCTACATGTTTTAGTTCTGTAACACATCATGACAGACTAATTAAGCCACTTAATGATTTGTCCTAGTCAGCTATTAACAGCAAATGTTCACTTTCTAAAATAAGATGCAAAGAAATAAACGTTTGCAAAAGATGTTGTAAAATAAACAGGATCTGCAGACATAATCCAATAAACCTGCCATGTTCAGCTCTAAGCCATGTGACAAATGTAAAATTTGGTCATCAGCTTGGGTTGTTTCAGTAGGGCTGAAACGAATCTTCGGATGATTCAATTCATTAAATCATTTGATTCATTATTTACTGATGTGAAGCTTCGTTAAATGTGCGCACCAGTCTGAACACACTTTACTGGTGCGCTGTGTGGTAAATTAGATGCTGTGGAGGAAAACAGAAACCAGCAAAGACAGAAACCAGTGTAAAAGGCAGAAACGGTCCAAAGTTTGGGGTCAAGAGTTAAACTAGGGTTAGGGCAGATTAGCTAATGCTAAGCTAGTGCATAGCACGCTCGCAAAACACGATCAAGTGTGGTTCAGAAAAAATGTGATGGTTGTGAATGACTAAACTCTACAAGCGGAAGAAAACTCCCCACCATCCCGTTTATTCGTGGATCTCTGCAGCTGCAGCTGCTACCTCGAGTCTGTTGTTGTACCGAGTCAGCGACTCGAGCCTACTCCACACACCGCAAAAATTATAGGGCAAGCCGTTGTAGCATGTTCACAAAAATAAAATATGCCATCATTACATTGATGCTAGTAGAAATTTAATATTATAATTTCCAGTAGATTACTACCGAACATGTTACTGAAATAATTAAATTCTACTGATCATATGTGAATATATTTAGATAAAATTTAAATATGAGAAAATCCACTAGAACCAAAAATAATTTATGGTGCACATAATGCACATTTTTTAAAACTTCCTCAATAGCTTTAAGGTGTGGGTGTGAGTGACCCCCCCCCCCCCCCCCCCCCCCAAAAAAAAAAATCTGGATGCAACTGTCGCCTGGTCCTGTTTGCATGAGCTGTTGCATAATGCTCACAATTAAATCAGCTACATGCAAAAGCAAATGACAAACACAGCAAAAGTGAGCTCTCACTACACCCGGAAACCTGAACGTCTGCAGAACTGTGCAAACGTCTCGAGTCTTGTCATGCTTGCAGCCGTCAGCTCTGTGAGAATCACCTTGTTGTTGCACAAAACTCAGACTTCTTTTGGATTTGTTATAGATTCAGCTGAAGAGATTAGACCAAATTTGGTCTTTGTGGCAAAACCGCTGGTAACAAAGAGCCTAAATATCCATTTTAAAATTATTTCTCAGCAAAGCTGTTTATTATGGGACAGCACAACACTGGCCACTTGTCTTTAGGAGCCTTTCTCATGTCTGAATGAATAACAACCTTAACCAACAGAAATATGTCCTACATGCGTCTTTACGAGAGAGAATAACTTAGTATCTGTGAGACAACATTCTGTCTTACGTGGGCCTTCTCTCTGCGGGCCTCCAGCAGTATATCATGGTAGTGCTGAGCCACAGACGGGGCCACATCTGTGAGCTTGGCGGACGGGTTCTGCAGCATTTCCAAGGTCTTCAAGGGATCTCCCTCATCCAGAGCCTCGTTGATCAGTCCAATAGCTGCAATTCCTGCAACAACATGAGCAGAAGCATCCAAAGTTAGGAACGCAGCATAAAATGAATGACTGCTCTTTCATTTTTACAGAGTGGGCTACCATGAGGCTACAAGAACAACGATTAATGCATAAATCAACATTACAATCAACTCTAGGATTATTTGTGTTCATTAGCTTGGTTTATAATTATTAAACAGGCTGACTCAATATTTTAACTTGTAACAGTTTTCCGTATCTGTGTTGTTCTCGTACGCTCATGCTCCTCCTGCACAGCCAGGTTGACTTGGTCGATGCAGGCCTGAATGTCGTTCCAGGTCAGATAGTCGTTTCCCTCCTCTCTGGCTGCCGCTTTAAGATGCATCAGCTCATCCAAATACCTGAACAGCACAAGCACGGGAGGACAGTGACCACCTGAAAACAAACATCTTCAGAAAAAACAAGCACGGCGCTCACCTCTGAGCATACTCATTTTCCACGTTACTGAGTCCAGTGACAGAGCTGGACAGCTGCTTCCAGAGGGCGCCTCGGTCCCCAACGTCCATCGCCTGGTTCATCAGCACCACCGAGGACAGCATCTCTACAGCAACGAGCAGCTCGGGGTGGCTCAGGTATTCCTGAAGTATCAGATTCACTTTAGGTAAATTCAGTTTTAAAAGCGGAGAGTGGAAAGACTAAAGACAAAGACAGTTTGCAAGTGTTTTAGGAGCTTTAGAAACGATTTTAAGCAGATGGCTGTCATCTAAAAGCAGTTCCAACTTCATCAATTCCTCAGTTCATGTGACAACTGCAGGAAAACTGGAAATTAACAGAGTTTATCTCCTTCACTACATTTAAAACCAGGCAAAGAGCCCTTGAGATGGATTCCCTGTGTTGCAACAGCCTTCTATAATTTTGTACATAACATGTCTGTGTAACTGAAAAATTTGTAACTAACGTTTGCTGCCTCTTGGCCAGGACTCCCTTGAAAATTAGGTTTTTAAACTCAATGGGACCTTCCTGGTTAAATAAACGATAAATAAAAATTAAAGTTTTAGGGAATCCCTGCTGAACTTGACCCCTGGGGGCCTAAGACAGTTTGCTGCTCTTACACTAATTATAGTGAATAAATAATCCTAAAATAGGTGCTGGTGTGTTTCATCATGGACACCTCTGGGCTTTGCTGCTGCAGACATGCCAGCTCCCTCTGGTAGAGATCTGCACAGCTCGGGTAGACCTCCGGCAGCTGAGCGTCAGGATTCATCAGCTCCTCCGCCGTCTTCTCCGGCACGCCTGCTCTGATGGCAGCATTGATGCTCTCCACCGACTTCAACACTACTCAAACACATTCAGGTGAAATGCATCATAAGGAAAAGAGCCCAGATGCAGGATAGAACCCATGTGTAATGTTCTTACTCTTCAGGTAGCCATCTGCAAGCGCATTGCCCACGTCCACTCCACTCTGCAGCTCGTCTTTAGTCAGAGGTTCTCCGGGAGATGTCTAACAAGATGGAACTCATGATTGAAAACACAGAAAACAAACAGGAAATTCCTACATGCACAACCTGCACCCACCTGCTCCTTAGCCTCCCTGTCCCCCTGCAGCTGTTTGAGGTACCAGCCTTTGTTCGGAGGCTGCAGGTTCTGGACACCAACGGCCTTCATAGAGGCATATAACTTCTCCTCATCTCCGTTCAGCAAAGCCTGATCAGCTCCACTCAGGGCTTTGCTCACTGTTGGAGAAATGATGACATTCCTCCAGTGAACCACAGAAACCAGGGCAAGTTTACTAATCTGTAAACAAATGTCTTCACCAGGCTTACCATTGACCGTGTTGACATTTCCTTGGATCTCAGCCTGGGTGAGGAGCTCGTCGTAGATATCTCTCTCCACCTCAGCATTCTCCATTTGCTGCAACACAAACACGACTTAGAGCAAGGAAAACACAACAGTAGATGCTCAATACATCAGTAAATGTTTTAACAACAGGAAGTGACTAAAAACCAGGTATTGTGCCTTTTCAAAGTGACTTACTTATTAACCCCCAGAGACCCAAATTTAGAAAACAACTGCAAAATCTTTTTTTAACCTTTCACATGTTGTTCTAGGAGGCCAGATAAACGGGCCTATTTACACATTTTAACAGCCAATAGTGTTAAAGAACTGAACAATAGGACCTATTAGCAATGTAAATGTGCTTTTAAAAAGAAAAAAAAATGGGGAAGGTTTATTTTTGTAGACTTAAATTTGATGTTGTAATATTACAACCGTGGGTCTCTGGGGGTTCTTTCATTAAACCTTCATACGTCAAATATTCCAACATTTTTCCCATCGCAATTTTAGGAAAACCAGTCAAACATAAGGTCAAATTTTTTTGTGCCACACTAATGATGTATATTTCTGTAGCTTCAGGGGTATACAGAAGGAATTCAAGTGACACCACCAGGCCACGCCCACCAAGTAAATAAAACAAACCTCCTGACTCAAAATGACCTCAGGCTATATGAGCAGCTTCTATTACCAGAAAACAGAACTAAAATGAGGAAGAGCTGTTGGGAAATCGATCGTATGGAGAGATTCATCACAAACCTTGTTTTTAATATTTAGAATAAGTAAAAACTTAAACATATGAAACCCAAATGGATGACTGCATCTCAGAGACACTACTGGACCCCAGAAACAGAAAAAAAGTGATGTGCAGTGAACGGTTCCGCTCAGTTATGATAGTTTTCTGGGGAAAAGTGGCTAATTTACACCATTTTATAAACCATAAACTACACATGCTGTTTAGTGTCTTGTTTATAGTAACTGAGAAGCTTTTCCAGCGTTCGAATGAAAACCGAGACTGTGTGTGAAGTTATGATGTTGCTTTGGTAGCTTCAGGATAAATCTAATGTGTGTTATCTGAAAAAGAAAACGCCAAGTTTCTTTACACAAATCTGTTTACTAGTTATTTTGTATCCCAAGTGGAATCTGGCTTTTGTTCTGAAACCTCTCACCCGTTTGCGTGAGCTGGCCACCTTCTCTCCCTTGGCTCGGTAAAGGACGTCGTGGTACTGCTGGGCTGAACTGGGATCCAGACTGACGAGCATGGCGTTGGGGTTCTGCATGGCGCCCAGCGTGCCCTCAGGAACGCCCTGATCGATGGCCTCGTTGATGGCGATCACAGCAGCGTGCACTGAGGAGGAAACACAGAAAGGGTCAAGACGCATTTCTAAATGAATGCTGGGAAGTTTTTATTGTTTAATTTGGTCCTCATGTATTCTTAGATAAACTAATGCAATTGTGAGTTTTGCGTTCCAATAAAAAACCCAGAAATTTTGATTTGACCAAGCTTCAGTCATGCTAATAACAGGACCACACGTTTAGCTCTTATTTTGGCACAAATGCACGAGAAGGTAAAAGCCCTTTAAAATATGCACTTCAAACTTTTCTAGAGTCATAAATTAAGTTTTAACTACATTTAATTAACATGATCACTAAGGACGTGTGTTGGTGAAATTATGGCAACACATAAAGTATCACGATACGGGGAGACGATACAATATATAACGATATATTGAGATACATTCAGACAAAATTAGCAATTTTTTTAGACTGAATTTATAATCGGAAAATTCAGTTAACAGTCCAAACTGATACTTAACGTTTAACATGAGGTATCAGAACCATAATAGAGGGATTTACATTTAAATGGTGGAAACGAAACCCATTGCATCCTTCTGACAACTAGCGGTCGGTGTTGGAATTGCACCAAATGACAGAAAGTACACAAATGTTTGCAAGTAAATTCTTCCAAAAATCAGATACACAGCTTTTGAATATTGCTGGAAATAAATAACATGATATATCATCATGTCGATGTTTTCTCACATCCCTAATGATCACTAGATTATGGTAACTGATCTGCTGGTTCATTCATTAACCAACTTCAAATTTGCCAACACAACAGAAAAGGAACAATATTTATAAAATGTATAGAAAGTTGACCTTGGATGATTAAGAGAAACGCAACATTGATGGTTTAACTGACATTCAGTCACTGTGGTCAGATGTGTGGTAACGTTCCTCATAAAGATCTTAAGCAAAAGCAGTGATAAAACCCGCCAAACAAAGGGATTAGAACAGGATTCAGACTCGGCTTATTAATAAAGCAGATCTGTATTGTCTTCTTTACAATTGCTGCTGGATTTGTGACATCTAAGAAAATCTCTGTTCATTAAATGTATTTTATCAGTTTTGTCGTAGAACAGTTGGGAGGACACATTCAATTCAGATCTGTTGAAAATGTGTTATTTTCCTAAATAAGCTCCAACTGGTGTTCATAAGTCTGAAGTTAAAGGAGCCTGAAGCCCCCCTTCCCTCCCCTCCCCTCCGTCGACATTTGACCCCTCTCACATGCAGCTTCATCCACTGAAAGCTCATTGGCCAGGATCCCACCAATCTTGCTGAAGGCGGGCATCTGGATTCCATACTTCTCCAGCTCGCTCTTCATGTTGTTGATCTCCTCCTCTAAGAGAGAGAACACAGAGCAGAAGGAGCAGATCCAGGGGTTACAGGGGGGAAAATGGAAAGAAAAACAGGGAGACCAGGCAGCGACTGGGGGTGGGGGGAGGACTGGAGAGACAAACTGTTCCTGGCTCATGTGTGATAATCAGATTCCAGAGACTGGCTCTGGGACTGGCAGCTGAGCGGGAACTCAGACAGGAAAAACTCTCACAGCCTCGAATGACTTTCACATTTGCAGCAGCTCCTTCCCTCTGTGGTCTGCTCCTCAGTCACACAGGGTGAGAACAACCTCAGCACATTTTACACTTTGAGTTACCATCTCTAAAACCCTGGGTTTAGGATGACACAAGCAGACACGGACTCATCCTGATGCCAGCTTACTTACCGGTGAAATCAACTTTTCCATACAGATCCTGGATCTGGGGGGCCAAGCCCAGCTTGAACAAGTACAGGCTGTAAAAGAAGCACAGATGACACCATGAACAGATTGTAGTGAGAGACACACACACATCGGATACAATACATGCAGTGGATTTAGCTAGAGAACATCCTCACTTTAGAGAAATGTTACAAAACAGGATCATGAATATAAAGCTTCAGAGTAGCGAGGGCACGCACGCACGCGCACGCACACGCACACACAGACACACACACACACACACACACACACACACAAACAACACACACACACACACACACAGATCAGAAGGACATCCTACAACGATGCCGTTTGATTTGTTCATTATTGTTTCCTGGACTCCTGTTGCACACAAACACTGTGAATCCTTCACAATAAAAGCCCTGCTGAGCGTTTCCTTTTTGAACATAGTGGAGTTTTTGTTCTGCAGTAGCAGGGTCTCTCTCAGCGCGCCATCGCTGCTGAGGTGAGACTCAGTAAGACAATCATTTGGGACTTCTGAGGGTTATATAACAAAACAGTCAAGACCCCAAAACAATTCACCAGCATCAAGCTGATGGGTCCAACTGGACGTCCGTCAAGACATTGGACGATCCTGAACCAGACTTAAGGCCATTACTGATGCCCACTGCAGCCCCATAACCATCAGATGACTTATGAGACTGAAGGTCTCACAAAAATATCTTCAAAGGCCTCATCTCCTTGAACTCCACAGAACTGACTGTTAGGACATTAAAAGGTGGAAGAAGGTTTTATTCACTGATGAGACTAAATTTAACCTTGATGGTCCTGATAGTTTCCAATGTTACTGGCATGACCAGCAGATCTCACCTGAGATGTTTTCTACACACCACAGTGGAGGGGGCACCATAACGGTCTGGGTATTTTTTCCTTCAGTGGAAGAATGGAGCTTCAGGAGGTTCAGGGGTGTCAAATGGCTGCTGGCTATGTCCAGATGATGCCGAGAGCATCCCTCATGATTGAGGATCCCGGTCTGTGGCAACAGGTGAGCTTTTCAACAGGACAACGCTACAGCATATGGACTTCTTCCAAGGGAAGAACATCACTCTTTTTTACCATCCTGTGTGTTCTCCTGATCTAAATCCAATGAAGAACCTTTGTGGAGGAATGGAAAGAAAGTTTACAAAAATGGACAACAGTTCCAGCCTACATGAGGCCGTTTTCACCACTGGAAGAAATGTTCCCACTCGCTTAATGGGACACGTGCATCAAGCACGCCTCAGAGAGTTTTTGAAGTGATCAACAATAACGGCAGAACCCTTCAGAGTTTGTGTTTGAAACTTTGACTTTTGTTTCGGGGGTTTTAACAGGGTTTTTGGACTTTTGATCAGGTGTAAAACAGCCCATTGCTGTATCAGCACGGTTTCCAATAAATAGCAAGCTCCAAAACTGTTTTGTCTCACTCCCATTTCTTCTACTCTATTGGAACCTTGATAAAATCCAAAAGTGCAAAATATCATTTTTAGCTATTTATTAAGTGGTCTTAAACTTTTGATCGGGACTGTATACATAAAATATTCCGTAAAAAAAAACTCCAACCTATTTTAAAACAGCGTGTGACTCAGACTTATTAGGTTGAGCCGGTGACAGAAGTGGGCGTTTCATTTTGGGGTAAATTTTGGTTTAGATGTCTGGTTGCAGAGCCTGCATCATGAACATAAACACGTAATTAAACACAATAAACCATTTCTGCTTTGTGCTTTAGCCGGTCTCTGCATCCTTTTACCTGCAGAAAAACACTCCTTTAAAAGCCAACATTTCCGTACCTTCCACCACCAAATGTCGTTCTGCAGATAAACTCAATCGTTCACCTCATAAAAATGTCACAGGTTCAGGCCAAAAATGCCAAAAGGCCCCTGGGAATACACAGCTTGTAAAACTCCTGTGAATGAAGAATTCCTGCTTTCATAAACAAGCACGCCTTTGCTGACCTCTAACTGCTTCTTGGCCTGTTAAACATATCAGCAGAAGAAGAATCCAAGCTGTGTTCTGACTCCACGCTGCAGGGCAGCAGAAACTGAGCTCTAACTATGAGATGAAAAATAAAGAAACACAAACCTGAGAGCATGGATACAGTAGATGCATCGTGGCATGTTCTTTCTGTCATATATGTCTGTGGTTTCTGGGTAGAAGATCTGAAAGACAGAAACTGTGAGGTGAGCATCATGTTGCAGCACGTGTGTAGGAGTCACTCAGAATATTCAGTCAAAAAGGAGATTTCACAATGGTGACGTGCATTAACACGCTCCGGGGAGCAACTGGGGTCAAACAGCTGGAGGAACAGGCACAATCTTATAGAGTTGCCAAAAAATGACCACATTTATTTCCCACATCACCAAAATGCCAGTTTACTTCTAAAATGACCTCCAAGTGACCTTCTGAACCTCTATAAGGTTATCAGTAAAACACCAAACAAATACACTTCAGCACTGAGCAAACTTTCAACTCTGGAGTTCATTTGGCTGCAGTGAATAACCCTTTCAAATACTGATCATCACCTTTTTATGAAAAAAATCAGTAATTCACAATCAAAATCTACCATTTTACTTCTATTCCTTTGATTTAACAGCCAACCTTTGGATTTGTTGCATTCCACAAAATAAAATTTGCATATTAAATTATAAAATTTCAGAATGCACCACAAAGTAAGATTATAATAAGTTCTGTGTATGTGATGAGTGTTCGTTATATTGTGAATATAAAAGTCTTCTGTTTGTGGTAAAGTGGAAATGATCAAAAGTGTAGCTCTAATTTACCACATAAATGCAAAGTTGTATAAATTGTGTGTTTTGTATACAGATTTGTGTGATTTACAATGTTAGCCAATAGCATTATACACACAAGTTAAAGAACCTGAAAGGGCAAAAAATGATGTGGTAGACTCCATACATTTAAAATTATAAGTACACAGGACCTAAATGCAAGTTACTATTACTGAGACAAATTAGTAAAACATACTGGAAGTTTTGCTTGCAGTTTACTACTGCTTAACTATGTACAACTCAGAAAAACTACTTCAGTAAACAAATTTCCAAGTACTTTGTACTGGTTTGACTTAGTTAAAATAACTTTTAAATAAGTTCATTTTACTTGTGAAATGTTAGTAGCTGCTACACATAAAATCTAGTCCTGTGTACTTATTATTTTAAGTGCAATCGGTTTGCATGCTTTTTTTTCAAGTGGGCGGAACTAATCAGATTTAACAGTGTAACACATACAAGAGTGTGTGTTTTGAGTGTGTGTTCTCCCATAACCCAAAGAAACCTCAGAAGAAAAAAAAAACCTAAAATCCACCTTTTTAATTGTCATCTAACCTGAAAAACCCAGATACTCTTTAGATCATAGGAACATTTTATACACTGCTTATTAAAGACTAGATCAGCCATCAGTGGGCTATAAATTGTAACTTAACGGGAGATGACTTAAAGACTGGATAGAACTAATAACCGTCATAGGCAGCAGACCAGCTGTTGCTCTTATTTCAGCTTAAACATAAAAAAAACTCAAGCTAAAGAAAACGAATGTCACATGTCAACTAGAAACACTGATACAATCGAATTTTAAATGATGGTCACTGTCATCAACTATGACGAAGTTTTGTAGCAGCTCTAGAATATTGGCTTGACTTAGTTTATTTTGTAACCAAAAATCTTAAATAATCTAGCGTGGGTTTTAAAGTCTAAATTAAGAGGAAAATAAATGTTTTCTTGCAGCTTTAACTGTTGGACAGCTGTGAGTGCTCTCACCTTTGGCAGTCCCTTCTCTGACATGGCGTTGAGCCACTGGATGACATTATCTGTGTGTCTGAAATGAAGACCTGTTGCCTGTAAGAGAACAAAAAAAAGGTTGATACATCAGCGGTATGTAATATTTTACAAAACCAAACACTCATGTATAGTTGTGTTTATCTGCAGTAATACATTAAGGTGCACATAGTTTATTTTGTTCAGTGGAATCAACAAAAATGGTTCAATGGTCCAACTTATTGGGATGCAGATCTTTACAGTAAGTTTACAAAAAAGATGTAAAAACTACAGCCTAGAGGCTCTTTTATGCAATGTCAGGAATGAAGAACTGTCAAGTACACAGGTGGCAGGAACAGCCAATCACACGTTAGCAAGTATAAGCAGAGCCAATAGATAAGCTTATGGATGGCTCTAATGGGAAACGGGCTTCAACACAAACAGCTGTTTTCCACTTGGTCCAAGTGCTCGACCAGTGTCCATTTAATAAAGTGTAATGCTGTTTTTGATGGTAAAAAGTGAAGGGGACAAAAACTGACGTTGGAAAAAAAAGGGGGGGGGGGCATGTCCCCCACAAAACTATGTCCATGCCAACAGCCAAGGTGGGTTAAATGGCTTGCCCAAGGACACAATGACTAACAGACGGAGTGGGACTTGAACTGGGGTTGGCACTTAACTCCTCTGCCACTGTCATAAAATATATTTTCCCAGGATTATATCAGTAAATGGTTTTCAAGTTTCTTTGAGTGGAAAATAGATTCTATTCCACGATCAAAAACAAGAAAGTGATCCAGGTCATATTTTCAGGGTTAATTAAAAGATCATTTGTTTTATACTCAACCCTTTTCCTTATGATTTATCTGAAATACAGGGAGTGCAGAATTATTAGGCAAGTTGTATTTGAGGAATAAGTTTATTATTGAACAACAACCATGTTCTCAGTGAACCCAAAAAACTCATTAATATCAAAGCTGAATGTTTTTGGAAGTAGTTTTTAGTTTGTTTTTAGTTTTAGATATTTTAGGGGGATATCTGTGTGTGCAGGTGACTTACTGTGCATAATTATTAGGCAACTTAACAAAAAACAAATATATACCCATTTCAATTATTTATTCTTACCAGTGAAACCAATATAACATCTCCACATTCACAAATATACATTCCTGACATTCAAAAACAATACAAAACAAATAAGCGACCAATATAGCCACCTTTCTTTGCAAGGACACTCAAAAGCCTGCCATCCATGGATTCTGTCTGTGTTTTGATCTGTTCACCATAGTGTTGTCAAAAAAATCGATACCTAGATATAAATCGATACTTAAAGTGGTATCTAAATTAGATATTCCATCCCTGTGGTATCGATATTATGGACTATTATACACAGCCTTCTTCAAGTACACCGACACGCACGACAGCCAGATGCCGTAAAGCAGACTCCGCCTCCCAGACAAACAGAAGAAGACGCTGCATGGCTACATTGCAATTTCCCACGTGAGTTGTCTCCGATCCAAGTTTTGTCTGCCAAATAAATAAACAAAAACAGCGAATTTGGGAGGCGCTTCACAGCCCAACTTAATCAGCATACCAAGTCCGACACGTAGTTGTATATTCACGCTTACGTGCTTAAAGGAAAACTCCCGTTTATTGACACCCGTACTTAATTTCTAGCATGCAGTACGTTTGTTTACTCACGCTGACAACTTTGGTGCTACTTGGATTCCCCGGGGTATTTACCGTAGATCCATCGGCGAATCGCCATCAGTGTATATCCATATAACGGGTGCGGATGGGCACCCATGGTGCAGCCTCGAAATAAGACATTATCTGCACCAAAACATCTTCAAGTCGAAAGGTTTTGTTAGGAATCTTTAACGTGATTCCCCCTGTTCGTTTGGAGCGGGTCTGGGATTTCTAGGCGTGAACAGACTAGCCACGGCTAATCTAACCGGCGCTTTTAATGACGTCACTGCCGTGCGCCAGTCTGTTTTTAGTAAGATTACCGGTAGATGTACCTTTGTCCTACTGTGGAGAAATTTGTTTTCTCCCTTTATTGACCAACAGAGTTGTTCAAAAGTACAGAACAAAACATATGGCATTACAGCTTATGACAAAAATGCACCTTAAACAGAGTTTAAGCAGCAAAACATCACTCTGCAGATAGTGTATATATAGTGAGACAATTCATGATTTAAAGTGTTAACTTTGGCCAGTTTTTGTATGCACGTTTAAAAAAATGCTGATACTTGAAAGGTTTAAGCACTTCATACACTTAATTCTTAACATTTAATTTTTGCAATATAAATTGAGGAATGTTATTTTTTGAATAAACTTGTTCAATAAATTGGTGTTTTTAAATGGTATCGAAATCGAGTATCGAGTTTTTTTCAAGTATCGAATCGAGTTTGAAATTTTAGTATTGTGACAACCCTAGTTCACCATCAACATTGCGTGCAGCAGCAACCACAGCCTCCCAGACACTGTTCAGAGAGGTGTACTGTTTTCCCTCCTTGTAAATCTCACATTTGATGATGGACCACGGGTTCTCAATGGGGTTCAGATCAGGTGAACAAGGAGGCCATGTCATTAGTTTTTCTTCTTTTATACCCTTTCTTGCCAGCCACGGTGTGGATTACTTGGACGCGTGTGATGGAGCATTGTCCTGCATGAAAATCATGTTTATCTTGAAGGATGCAGACTTCTTCCTGTACCACTGCTTGAAGAAGGTGTCTTCCAGAAACTGGCAGTAGGACTGGGAGTTGAGCTTGACTCCATCCTCAACCCGAAAAGGCCCCACAAGCTCATCTTTGATGATACCAGCCCAAACCAGTACTCCACCTCCACCTTGCTGGCGTCTGAGTCGGACTGGAGCTCTCTGCCCTTTACCAATCCAGCCACAGGCCCATCCATCTGGCCCATCATGACTCACTCTCATTTCATCAGTCCATAAAACCTTAGAAAAATCAGTCTTGAGATATTTCTTGGCCCAGTCTTGACGTTTCAGCTTGTGTGTCTTGTTCAGTGGTGGTTGTCTTTCAGCCTTTCTTACCTTGGCCATGTCTCTGAGTATTGCACACCTTGTGCTTTTGGGCACTCCAGTGATGTTGCAGCTCTGAAATATGGCCAAACTGGTGGCAAGTGGCATCTTGGCAGCTGCACGCTTGACTTTTCTCAGTTCATGGGCAGTTACTTTGTGCCTTGCTTTTTCCACACGCTTCTTGCGACCCTGTTGACTATTTTGAATGAAACGCTTGATTGTTCGATGATCACGCTTCAGAAGCTTTGCAGTTTTAAGACTGCTGCATCCCTCTGCAAGATACCTCACTATTTTTGACCTTTCTGAGCCTGTCAAGTCCTTCTTTTGACCCATTTTGCCAAAGGAAAGGAAGTTGCCTAATAATTATGCACACCTGATATAGGGTGTTGATGTCATTAGACCATACCCCTTCTCATTACAGAGATGCACATCACCTAATATGCTTAATTGGTAGTAGGCTTTCGAGCCTATACAGCTTGGAGTAAGACAACATACATGGAGGATGATAGGGACAAAATACTCATTTGCCTAATAATTTTGCACTTCCTGTATACGTTAGGTCTCACATTATTATAAATGCTAAAGGATTTTAAAAGTGCCTTTATGTACCAGCAGCCTGGGCTGATGGGCCAGAATTCTTTAATTACAGTTAAGGTCGGCACTTTATTGGAGACTCATACTACATCAAAGATTTTAAGACAAACACAATAAAAGTTAGAGAGCAAGGTACTCGTAGCATTGATTTGGCATTTCTGCTAATAATAAAGGGAAAGTCTAAACTCTAGAATAGAAAGGACCCAGATCATGAAGAGGTTTTCTTTTCCTTTTACCTTGTAACGCGTCTGCTCGCGATCGTAGATCTTCTTTAGGGAAACGGTCTGCGGAGCAAAAAAGTTGCCCAGTTTGGCCAGATAGACACCATTCCTCAATCCCTCCTCCAGCTCTGTTGTTGGGGGCAACTCCTCATCCAGGCAAGCCTCCATCCATCTGCAGGGAGATGACAGGAAACACAACATGATAAATTCAACCGTTTCTTTCCAAAGATATTTATCTGAAAATCTGTTATCATAAAGCAATAAATGAACCAAGATTATGAGGTAAAACTGCAGAGATTATTCTGAGGTCTTCCAACAGATTATATCTTTTATTTATTGCTACATTTTCATATCCATCCTTGTCCAACACATGTTAGTTCTAGCTCGCAGAACACGGATGAAAGAGCTGAGCAGAAAGTAAATCACAGGTGTGGAGCGAGCAGCAGTTTCTCCTCCCGTGTTTTAAGGACCAAGACGACAAGCCCTGCCCGTGGCGCCTACCTGAAGTTCCCAGCATTCCTCATGTGTGACATTTCATTTCTTTGAGGTCATATTACGAAGTCACATTCTTGCTGTGTGTCTGAGTCAGCTCTGGGCCACAGAGGTGGCGTGCTGAGCTCCCGTTCTGTCAGCTGGATTCCAAAACCAAAGCAGTTCAACCATCAAATCAAATTCACCGGAATAAGATAGGAAAGTATCCCAGAACTACTTCAAATAATTGCTTGTTGGTGTCATTAAAAGGTCTTGAAATGAATAGAGGCACACATTAGTTATGATAAGGAAATGACACAAAGTGACTAAAAAGGTGAAACAACTCAAAGAGAGATTAGTCTAGACAGAAGAAACAAGAGGATGATTTATAATACGACTAGGAAGAACCATCAAATAACTGCAAAAAAAATGTTAGATTTGGGTTTTTTTATGTTTGCTTTACCTGGAAACCTAGACTGCAACCACAACAAATTTTGTTGACAAAATTTTATCTTGTTTTTTTCGTGACAATAATTTTCACAGACTAAAAACGAAAACACACACACAGCAATAAAGAGTAAATTATGATGAATATTGACCAACATGTTCGCTCACGAACAAGAGACGGCTACGAAACTTGACAGAAACTAAAATCTAATCAGAAAACAGAAAATCCAATGTACCAGACAAAAAGAACGAACCAGCAAATGGAAAAGGCATGATTAGACGAGAAAAGAGCCAGTCTATCAGAGTACAGACCTGGCTGCTGTTTAAACAAGCTACAGCCAACCAGACATCCCATATTAATGTTTATGCTGGTAAAATTATGTCTAAAGGGAAAAAATGTCTGTGGCTGGGAGTAAAAGCAGTAGATGTGACGCTCTGAAAAGTATTTGGTACACATCCGGGGTTTCCTTTGTTTCTGAAAGTGTTACTGTGTTGTTAGCAGCTAGCAGGGGTGGGAGAGTGGTGCTGGACCTCACCGAACCCAACCATAAAGGCATAAACCATGTCTTACCTTTAGTTTACCTTTAGATTAACACATTTAAAAGTTTTGATGGTACAATGTCATTTTCTGTCATGTTTACAAAAATTACTGCACATTATACAGATTAGATTACTTTATTAATATTGAGAAGCACAACTTTAAACGGTCAGTGTTCATTTTTGGTATTTTCCAGTAATTATTGTTATATAAACAATTATAAATATAGACTTTTATTGATATAAAATGTGAAATATGATTTTTTTTGTATTTCTTTACAGTTTCAAATAGCTCTAGTTAACATTTACTTTACACAAGCTGAAAATTATTGCATCAGAACAAACATATGTATATTTTAGTTGACTAAAATAAGACTAAATCTAAAACACATTGGACGGATAAATTGTGACTAAAGTTAAAAAGAATTTTAGTCAAAAGACTAAAACTAAATTAAAATTTCTTGTCAAAATTAACACTGATTGCAACCAGTTTAGGTGTAATTTCCCAGTCTGGACAATAAACAAATTGCTGCTGACATCTATTACAATTTATTCATGTCCAAAAAGTGACCCTTGGGCTGACTTTGTGAGGGGAGCCCCAATTGCATTTCTAAACATTTTAGTGTCTCTCTTGCAGGCTGTGTATTTTGTCACTTTTTTAATATTTTTACATTTACATTCATTCCTGTTTAAATAAGTGTGTATAATATCACCAGTGAGCATGCAAGGTTGAGCTGGTCATCCACTTTAAGGAGTTTCTCAGTGCAAGAGCAGAAAGAGTGAAGTCAAACACGTCCCTTAAGAAAAAACAGACTCTTTCATCTGCTGAGAAAACACCCCCGCTCTTCTGTAGCTATGGCAACAAGGTTAACTGTATCCTGAGTGTGATTAAAAGATTCCTCTGCTCCGTCACGAGCCCTCTCTACATGTACGCACATGCATCTCTGCTGCAAGAGCCGCATGGACAAAAGCACAAAGGCTTTCCTGGAAAAAAACTAAGTTCTATCCCAATCCAAGCCACAAAAACACAATCCAAATACGTTAAAATCCCAGTTGTGTTGTGAAGAACGACAAAAAGATGGTTTGTTTTAGTTGAATTTAACAGTGTCGGTATCTTTCATTTTTCAGAAAACCTTTTTAGTTGACTACTGTTAGAATGAGCAGCTCTACTCGAGTCCTTAAAAAACACCTCCATCTCATTCTCAAACACTTGTGCGTTTACTTTGTTTTACTAAAGTTTAAGCTTCTGGTGCTGACGTACTCGCGCAAAACATCTTCAGACAATTCAGAATTACCGGTCACGCAATTTATTGAATTTTAGAGCATTAAACTGTACAAACCATAATTCTTCCTTTGCTGTGCTTCACAGAGGATAAGAGATTATATTATTAGAGTATAGATTCTCACTTTTTACATATTTAAAAATCAAAAATATTAAATGTTACCTAAATGTTTATAAAGTGGCCCTGAAATGTTTATAAAAGCAGCAGTTACATCAAATTTTATTGTGTGGTCTTATAGCTAATGTCTGAAAATTGTCTGAGAAGGACTTATGTTTATGTTAATTTATTTTGAAGAGAAGCTTTTATTCTAACTGATTCAGTTTACTCTAATGTGCGTTTTTGGTCTTGTGGGAGGAAACCACAACGAGGAGAAAAGTGCACAAGCAGCGTCCGGATGTGTCCAAATTTCAGTTACAGTGCCAACGACGTCAGGTCCATGTGAATTAAAAAAAGAGGGTTCAATAGAAGAGTCCAGTTGAATCTTTTCTGTTCCGTGTGATTTAGAGCCAGCGGAACAATAAACTTCAACTGTATTTACAAATGAAAAAGGATTTTCAGGAAGTGATGATTTATGCAAAAAGCCAGAGTCCTGACGAAACTTTGATATGTGGAATAAAACAGTATTTCATCAACTTGGCATGAGTGTGTGCAAATGTGTTGTTTGTTTTTTTTTCAGATGGAGATGAAGATTTATTTAAAAGAAAATCAGTGCAGCAATTTTGTTCAGCCGAAAAATGTTCATAAAGCTGCTGCAAGACTCCGTCTCATTCTTTATTCAGTTTCCCACCACTTTGATTTTTGTTAGGAGACTTGGTCTTCCTACAAACACTTGAGGATCCACGCAGACTCACATTTTGAAGGGCAAAGGGCAACTAACCAGCAGCTGAAACAACTTCCCTCTCAGGAAGTCGTGACTCGAGCTCTGCAGACAGGACCGCCATTGAGGCCGAGGTGACCGACCCGTGGCGCGGAGCCCGAGCCTGCTCGTCGGGAACAAACCCCGGTTTTCACTCCACGCTGGAGCAATGAAAGGCTTCATAAAGACAGCTAAGTAATGGCTCTTTTATCACAGCTACACACCCTTTTCCAGCCAAGCACAAACACAGTCACACCCTCCACTTAACCAGTGAGAACTGCAGCTATGAACGGGATTCAGGATGCTGTCGACAACAGCAGCCAAAAGAAATGTCAAGACTAGCAGGCTCGTCTAGAATAAACAAAAAATAGCCACAAATATGAAAGTATTAACTGGAATCTCCACAATCACAGAGCAAATACAGCCTTCACTGGGACAAGCAATGTGAAGGCTAATGCTAGATAATATTTCACATGTCTTAGTTGAAGGCAAATGTGATAAAAGAGGAAAAAATGCTCCCTATCTGATATCTAATCATCCTAGATGAAGTTAGAAGCGTTCTGACTAACTGTTATGTCTGTAAAGCATTGTTTTCTGTTTTTCTTGTATTTTCTGTTCTGTATGTTAATATGTAAATTTCAGTGCGTAAGTGCCCTACTGTGATTTGAGGAGGATGGCCGTGAGGAGTCCTGATTGGGTGACTGGAAGGAACAGACCCTTTAGGGAGGACCTGATGAGTCCGAGTTTGTGTCTTTTTGCTCATTAGATTGATTTAGAAGTAGGGGTGACCCTGCCCTTTTATTTAACCCAGTTTTTTCCTGTTTTTGTCAGTCAGGGAGGTAAGATCTGTTATCATGTGGTTCATTTAATTAGCAGGCCAGCTGGGTAAACAAGTTTGAGGTGTTATCTTTGTTATTTTGGCTCGCCATGAATTTTTAATCCTCCCTCTCCCCGACTAATTAGTTGAGTATTTAGTTTTTACATTTTTTTTTAAATAAGTCATTGTAAATAGTCCTTTTGGTGTGGTGCTTGGGACACCATCACACTAAACCAAAAGTCTAAATTAAAATCTTAAAATATCACAAAGTTGCTCAAATTCTTTAGATTTAAGAATGCTCAAGTAAAATATACAGATTTTATTCGCCTGGTACTGAGAGTTAATCAGAAACCAAGCATGGCTTCTGTCAAAACTAAACTTTTTCTACAGACCTAAAAATCCTCAGATGGAGATGTTTCCTCTATTTACTGATAACACGGTGTGAAGGCAGAAACATGGGTACACTTGCTCTGGACAGTTTTATGTCTCTTAAGCCTAAAAATGATAACAGTAGCTCAGGAACATGTAGGGCTACGCATGGAAACATGGAGCCGCCTCCTCTGATCGTCTCAGGAAGCGGAAGTCAGAGCAGAGTTCAGAGGTCAGTCTCATCGGAAAAGGTCTGCAACTGACCACCATCTGTCCAGGAAGACTCGCTGACGCCAGACCAGCAAACTGTCTCAGACTGTTGTGAGGCACCTGTTCACCACACTCCAGTTCCCGTTGCACGGCTTTATGCAGATATGTTTGTCCTTAAAGAC